TGGGTGATTCGGCTAAACCAGCAGATATGAAAGATGAAAGCTGGAAGAAGCTAGGTAGAAAGACGCTGGCTACAATCAGAAAATGGGTTGATATCAGCGTGTTTCATCATGTAGCGCAGGAGTCAGATGCTCACATTGTTTGGGAAAATTGGCAGCATTGTATGAGAGAAAAACAGGTATGAATAAAGTTATGCTTGTTAAAAAAATTGCAACTTTACAGTACAGGGATGGACGATCTGTTACAGAGCACTTGAGTGATTTTCAAGATATATTTAATCGGATGACTACTATGGAACTTAAGATGGATGATGAAATGAAGGCATTATTTCTTTTGGGTTCATTGCCAGACAGCTGGAATACTCTAGTTGTGACTGTTCTTAATTCAGCTCCTGATTATAAGGTGACATTAGAGATGGTAAAGGACAGTATGCTTAATGAAGAAGCGAGGCGAAAAGATGTAGACCTGGGAATCAAGCTCTGGTCACAGAGAACAGGGGTAGAACATCGACAGAAGTCAGGACTCAAAAGGCCGTGGTAAGTCTAAACATAGATCCAAGTCTAGAGGTAAAGTGAAGTGTTTCCATTGTGGTAAGGCGGGTCATATAAAACGAAACTGTAGAATCTTAAAGCAAGAGCGAAAAGATGAGAAAGGCAAGAGTTCAGATGATGGCAATGTTGCAGCAGTGAATTCAGATAGTGATTCAGTTACTTTGATTTGTACACATGGTGATTGTAATCATGTTAGTGATCCCGGCATTGAGTGGATAGTTGACACAGGAGCGGCATATCATTGTGTTCCTAAGAGAGAGTTGTTTACAACTTACAAAGCAGGAGACTTTGGTTGTACCAAGATGGGAAACAAGAGTGTGTCGCAGATTGTTGGGATTGGTGATATTGGTGTACAAACTAGTACAGGCTGCATGTTGACTTTAAGGGATGTCAGACACATTCCAGATATGAGAATGAACTTGCTTGCTATTAATGTCCTTGATAAGGAGGGATATGAAAGCCGACAAAAGAATGGACAGTGGAAGCTTCTCAAAGGATCTATGGTAGTTGCAAAGGGAAAACTATGCTGCACAATGTATAAGACATGGATGCAATTGAACGGTAACCAGGTAAATACCGTTGAAAATGATGCTTCAGCAAACTTGTGGCACAGGAGGCTGGCACACATGAGTGAAAAAGGGTTACAGGTTTTGGCAAGGCACTCTCTCATTCCCTTGACCAAAGGTATGTCTCTCGATTCATGTGATTATTGTTTGTTTGGTAAGCATCATAGAGTTTCTTTTCGTAAAAGTTCTCAGAGAAAAGAAAATATATTGGAATTAATTTATTCTGACGTATGTGGTCCCATTGAGGTTGAGTCATTAGGTGGTAGCAGATATTTTGTTACTTTTATTGATGATGCTTCACGTAAGACTTGGGTGTATATGTTGAAATATAAAAGTCAGGTACTGCAGTATTTTCAAAAATTTCATGCCATGGTTGAAAGGATGACAGGGTTACCCTTAAAGTGTATTCGAACTGATAATGGTGGGGAATACACATCTAAAAGCTTTGAAGAGTATTGCTCAAAGCATGGGATCAGGCATGAGAGGACAGAACCTGGAACACCGCAGCATAATGGTATAGCTGAAAGAATGAATCGCACCATTGTGGAAAAGTCAGATGTATGTTGAGGATGGCAAAATTACCAAAGCCATTCTGGGGTGAAGCAGTCAACACAGCTTGTTATTTACTTAACAGGTCACCATCAGTTCCTTTGGGCTTTGACATTCCAGAAAGAGTGTGGACAGGAAAAGATGCTTCATACTCTCACTTAAAAGTTTTTGGGTGTAAAGCATTCATGCATGTACCAAAAGAGCAGAGGTCAAAGCTTGATAGTAAAGCTACACAGTGTGTGTTTGTAGGATATGGTGATGAGGAATTTGGCTACAGGGTATGGGATCCAGTAAAGAGAAAGACAGTCAGAAGCAGAGATGTGGTCTTTCATGAAAAAGAAACCATAGCAGACCTTGAGAAAAATGAGAAGACTACACGAGTTACTGTTGAGTGTGATGTTTCAACACCGACAGGGATTTCACAGGAAAGAGCCACAGATGGTGAAAATGAGCCAGAAACAGAACTTGGGGATATGAATGAGCCAGCCATAGTTGGTGATGAGCCAGATGCTATTAGTTTTGAGCAGGGGGAGCAATCCTCTCTACCTGAGAGTGTTGAGCAGGGGGAGCTACCTTCAGCATCAAGTGATGTAGAGTCTCAGCTCAGGAGATCTACTAGAGAGCGCAGGCCATCTACCAGGTATCCAAGTTCAGATTTTATTTTAGTTACCAGTGAAGGGGAGCCAGAAAGCTTTCAAGATGTGCAGGCTACTCCGGATAGAGAGCACTGGTTAAAAGCAATGAAAGAAGAGATGGAGTCATTGCGAAAGAATGGTACTTATGATCTTGTTAAACTTCCAACAGGGAAGAGGCCATTAAAGAATAAATGGGTGTTCAAGTTGAAAAAGGATGGTGACAAACTAGTGAGGTACAAAGCTCGATTGGTAGTAAAAGGTTTTTCTCAGAAACCAGGCATCGATTTTGATGAGATTTTTGCTCCAGTTGTAAAAATGAGTTCTATTCGAGTGGTACTGGGATTGGCAGCTAGTTTGAATCTTGAGCTTGAGCAACTTGATGTTAAAACTGCATTTTTGCATGGTGATTTGCAGGAGGACATTTATATGAATCAGCCTGAGGGTTTTGAAGTGAAAGGGAAAGAGCACTTAGTTTGCAAATTGAAGAAAAGCTTGTATGGCTTGAAACAAGCTCCGCGACAGTGGTACAAGAAGTTTGATTCTTTTATGATGAGTCATAGCTATAAAAGAACAGCAGCAGATTCTTGTGTGTATATTAAACAATTCCCTAATGGTAACTTCATTATCCTATTATTATATGTTGATGATATGTTGATTGTAGGACAAGATGCTAGTATGGTTTGCAGGTTGAAAGAACAATTGTCTAAGTCCTTTGATATGAAGGATTTAGGTCCAGCAAAGCAGATTCTTGGTATGGACATTATCCGAGATAGGAGAGCTGGAAAGCTGTGGTTGTCACAGGAAAAGTATGTTGAACGAGTGCTTGGTAGATTCAACATGCAACATGCTAAATCAGTTAGCAGTTCACTTGCCAACCATTTTCATCTAAGTAAGAAATCTTGTCCAGTGTCTAAGGAAGAGCAACTAGCTATGTCTAGTATTCCTTATTCTTCTGCAGTCGGTTCTTTAATGTATCTTATGGTTTGTACAAGGCCTGACATTGCTCATGCAGTTGGTGTAGTGAGCAGATTTCTTTCTAATCCAGGGAAGGTTCACTGGGAAGCAGTAAAATGGATTTTTAGATATTTGAGGGGTACCTCAAAAATGTGTTTGACTTATGGAGTTTCACAACCAATTCTAGAAGGGTTTACTGATGCTGACATGGCAGGCGATCTTGATGGTAGGAAATCTACTTCAGGGTATTTGTTCACTTTTGCAGGAGGAGCTGTATCTTGGCAGTCTAAGTTGCAGAAGTGTGTTGCTTTGTCAACTACAGAAGCTGAGTATATTGCAGCAACTGAAGCATGTAAAGAAATGCTTTGGATGAAACGTTTTCTTTTTGAATTGGGGTTGAATCAGAAAGAGTATGTGGTATTTTGTGATAGCCAGAGTGCTTTAGATTTGAGTAAGAATACCATGTACCATGCTAGAACAAAGCACATTGATGTTAGATATCATTGGTTACGTTCAGTGATTGAAGAACAGCAGATGCTATTGAAGAAAGTCCATACTGATAAAAATGTGGCAGATATGTTGACTAAGATACTTCCCAGGGAAAAGCTTGAGCTTTGCAGTAACTTGGCCGGAATGAGTTCCCTGGCCAAGGTAAGTTCCAAATGAAATTGCTATGGTGATGAATCTCCTTCTAATGGGACTGGAGGGGGAGATTGTTAGGAAAATGGGGTCCAGTCCCATGTAAGTGGTTTTGGACCAAGTAAAGGCCATGGGCCTTGATCTTTTATTTTACACAGAGCCCTAGCTACTTAATAAAAAAGAGGTGGGGTTGTTTAAGGTGTGTGTCGACAACCAAGCAGAGAAAGAAGAAAAGCCAGGAAAAGCAGAGAGAGAAAAAGGAGAAGGGAGAGTTGATTAAACGGAAGTCGATCCGTGGTCCGATTGAGTTGGAACCTTGTCAGGAGGTTTATGATTCAGAGTTATACATTCTGAACGGTGAAGATCGGGTTTGAAGCTCTCTAGGAACAAATCCAGGGTGTATTTGTTGAGTCACTTATTTGGTGAGATTTCTCCAATTGTTTCTCTAGTTGTTGATTAGCTCTAGTTTTAGCTAGAGAAGAACTTTGTATAACTATTATTTGATAGTGAAGATTTTTCTGGTGGCCCGTGGTTTTTCCCTCTACACTGGAGGGTTTTCCACGTAAATCTTGGTGTGCTTTATTTTTCCTGCGCATTTGATTATTGATTGTTGTCTATTGCTTCTGTATTGTTGTGATTATTGCTTCAGACGCAACACAATTTTCAGCAGACAAGTTAAACAGAATCTTACCAAATAAACAAAAGGCAGCAAGATACTTTCTGTACCGTAACCTGAATGCTACTGCATGAAACTTATGTATCAAATGTGACTTGCAGAGCATGCTTCACTATGGTGCCATTGAAGCCCTCCAGCATAAGATTGGTTTGGTTCACCATGATGCCATTTGATGCCATTCATGACTTGCAAACCTGAATTCAATATGATGCCATTCACTATGACACCTCAAAGGCCCAAATTTTGTGCCCAGGTCGGCACCAGCCACAAAATCCCTTTAGGCCTGCCGGCTATGGAGCCGAGTCCGTTCCAGGTCCACTCGGGCCTAATCTTTTTCGTGCTTCTTCGAAAACCGCCTCGCTGGATTTACAATCGCTCTCCTATCAACACGTGTCGGAACACACGAAGGAAATTAAGAAAAAAAAATCCCCAATTTTGACTTCAAAACAAAGAACCGCCAACCAGCATCTTTGCTAGTCTTTGCTGTTTCAACTTAGCATCATTAAAAGAGATATAAATATATTCCCATAATTGTCGTAATCAAATCTTAAAAATTAAAACCCTTTCTTTTCTTTCGAGTTTCCCTTCATAAAAAACGAGCTGTGATTAGGAGGGATGGCGCAGGATGATCCGAAACAAAGCGGTGGTTTCTTTGCTTCGATCGCCAATAGTTTGTCTAATTTTAGTAGCGCCATGACTAAATCGGTCAACGGGTATTACAATCCATCCTCTAATTTTATTTTTTATTTAATTTCCTTTTTGTTGGATCTATTCTTTTGAATTTCAGTTCATTGCTTCGATCTCCACGTGGATATTACTTTAACTTCAATTTTGAAATTTATTATGGATTGCATAATAATTATGGTTTAAAAGGAAATTCATTTCATCAGATCTATGATTTTTTTTTCAAAGCTGATTGAGGGTTTAGCTTGAATGAACGAAATTGGATGTTTTAAAAAGGGTTGTTTTCCTGTTTATACAGTTTATTGGGATATGAAGGGCTTGAAGTTGTTAATCCTGAAGGCGGGACTGAAGATGCGGAAGAGGAAGCAAGGAGAGGAAGATGGAAGCAGGAGGTATGGTAATGCTTTATTTTCAATATGTTCACATGCATTGAAGAAAATAAGGAACAAAAGCACTTACCTTGGTGACTGGTCTGTCGTATGCATTTGAATCATGATGCTTCAATTCAAAAAATGCAATGCCAGCAAAGTCGTTTAAGTGTTAAGTAGGTGTAATCGTTGTTGGCACTTATCAGGTTATATAGTAATGACAATTATCTTTACATTGCTAAGAAATTAAAATAAAAAGTAGGCTAACATGTGCCAACTTGTTTTCCTGGAACATATGAAACATTTTGTCCGCCGGCTACTAGAACACTAGCATGTTTGACACGTGCTGCTAAAATGAATAACTTGTGTTGCCAATGCTGAAGTTTTCTTTCACAAATGTGATAAAATTATCCATGCAAGTTTGCTTTATCTGGGTTGAAGTGATAAGACAAGCATTTTATTAACTTGTATGGGCAATGTGCATTTTGCTTTCTCTTGTTTAACAGGACAGGGACAGTTACTGGAAAATGATGCAAAAGTATATAGGATCTGATGTCACATCAATGGTGACACTTCCGGTGCTTATTTTTGAGCCAATGTCAATGCTGCAGAAAATGGCTGAGGTTTGTGTTTCTGTATCCAACATTGGTGTAAAGTTATTGCTGTGTTTGATTCTTTTCTCTTAGTGGGATTTTATCAATTTCATCGTTTGTTACAGTTGATGGAGTACTCCTACTTGCTAGATATGGCTGACGAATGCGAGGATCCCTACATGCGTTTGGTGTACTCCAGTAAGATTTCCTCTAACTTCTCTTTTTCTCTTTCTTTCTAAGTCTAGTAGATGGATTAATAGTACCCAATTGCAGCATCATGGGCTATATCTGTTTACTATGCCTACCAACGTACCTGGAAACCATTCAACCCTATACTTGGTGAGACTTATGAAATGGTTAATCACGGTGGCATTACTTTTATAGCTGAACAGGTGGATCTTTCAGACCTAAGTCTTGGTTCATTTTTTCCCTCATTTTGATGCTTTGTGCTGTTATTTCTGACATTGTTTTCAGGTAATTTCTCTAAATGGCTGCCATTTTAAAGTCCTTATTAGACATTTTTCCTTGCAGGTTAGTCATCATCCCCCAATGAGTGCTGGTCATGCTGAAAATGAGCATTTCATTTATGATATTTCTTCTAAAGTGAAAACCAAATTCTTGGGAAACTCAATTGATATCTATCCCCTTGGAAGGTCAAACATGCTCTCTTTCATAACTTGTTCCATTATAAGGGGTTTCATTTAGACTATTTCGTTTTCTATTTTCCACTCCACCATTATTTATGTTATTAGCATGTTCTATAAGCTAATAGAAACATCATTTATCTCTGGAGTTTGTGAAAATTTATAATAATTTCTAATTCTGGTTATGGAGAGTCCTTTTCTTGCAGTTTTATTTATTTTTAAGGGAGAATTTTCTACTTGTAGTTGAGTTAAATATGATTCAGCAAAGTTTTTTTAATTCGTGAGTTCTTGTGCGTTTAGCATCTGTTGATTTATCTATGTCCTTCAATACAATGGGGAGGGAAGGATTTTTTTATTTGCATTCTGATGCTGTGGCTTTCATACATGTTTGTTTTATTTACTTATCTATGATTTTTCATGTTTTCCCACCTAATCTTCTTTGATTGTCCATCTTTGCATCTCATCTGATCCAATTGGAACTACTTTGAATTATACTTTTGCAGTGTTTAATATCAATGTAAGTCATAAATGAGCATATTTTCTGCATTTGCAGGTTGTAATCATGTATAGATTCTAAAAAAATTTTGAGTGCAGGACTCGTGTGACCCTCAAAAGAGATGGTGTAGTTCTTGATTTGGTGCCTCCTCCCACAAAAGTTAACAACTTGATTTTTGGACGAACTTGGGTTGACTCACCAGGGGAGATGATCATGACAAACCTGACAACAGGCGACAAAGCTGTGCTATATTTTCAACCGTGTGGTTGGTTTGGGTATGGTCTTATTCTAAGAAATTACTATTTGTCTCTCTCTATTTTGAAGACAAAATTAATAGCTCATCAGTATTTTAAAAGGATTTCACTTGATAAGTTGTAATGTTAGTTATTAGTTTTATCTGTCAATTTCCGTCATCTGTTGATTGTACACAATTTAACATTAGTCTTGGTTGTTCACAGAGCTGGTCGATATGAGATTGACGGATATGTTTATAATGCTGCTGAGGAGCCACAGATACTGATGACTGGGAAATGGAATGAGTCAATGAGTTATCAACCTTGTGACGGTGAAGGGGAACCACTTCCAGGCACTGAATTAAAGGAGGTTAGTCTTTTTCAGCATTTCTTTTGTTGTTTTAATCTTTTATTCTTCTCATAAACACTCCCTAGATTTCTTGATGCTTGTATTCTGGAATTCACTATTCCTGTCAAAAGTTTTGTGGAATAATGAAGAATCGTGTTTTTTACATGCGATTCTTAACCAAAAAGCAGATTATTTATGCTGAGCCTTCCCCCAAGTGATTAAATTGATTTTTGAACAAATTTGCAGTCAAAGTGGTGAAAAACAAACTTGTTCCTCTTACCGTATGAAGTATCTTACCATTCCCAATAGCTTTCCATATACCAAATAAATGGTGCTGCTCCTGACAATGAACAAGAGAACCTGGTGCCTGGTTTGAGTAGTAAATTAACTGCTACTCATGGTGGATGTTGGAAGTTTTCTTGCTTATTATAACATTTTCTCTATTAACATGATGAATATTTTTACCTAAAAATCAAAGCAGTCAAGGATTAATATACTTACCTCTGCTAATAAGTTTGTGTACTAAAAAGATTATATCCCTGATACTGAACTGCTTGTTAATTGTCATTACTCTGTTGTTGCTGTGATGCAGGCATGGAGAGTTGCTGATGCTCCAAAAAATGATAAATTCCAGTATACATATTTTGCACATAAGATTAATAGCTTTGATAGTGCTCCCAAGAAGCTTTTAGCATCCGATTCTCGTCTACGCGCTGACAGATATGCACTAGAGCAGGGTGACCTCTCTAAAGCTGGTTTTGAAAAGATGAGGTTTCTCTCTCTCTCTCTGATTCTATGTCATGTGTTTCATTCTCGTGATTTTTCTCTCTTTCGGTGGTCGGAGTGTGTGAAGGCCCTTGTTTAGTAGGGATGAAAACAGTAAAGGTGTTATATTTCCTTCAGATATAGTGTTTGTTTCTGTAATGCCATTGTTCACCTTATATTATGTCAATTCATCCCTCAACCTGTAATTCTTAGAACTCTCTTTGTTGTGCAGTTTGGAGGAAAGACAAAGAGCTGAAAAGAAAAACAGAGAGGAAAAGGGCCATAAATTCACTCCCAAATGGTTTGACCTCACCAACGAAGTCGCAGCTACTCCCTGGGGTGACTTGGAAGTGTATCAATACAATGGCAAGTATGCGCAACACTGGGCTGCCATAGATAGCTCAAGCAGCAGTGAAGAGATTGACATTATGTCGATTGAATTCAACCCATGGCAGTATGAAGATTTGGCTGCTAACTAAAAGCGTATCTTTGCGTATGCTTAGCCTGTATAATTATATTCTTTATGTTTCTTTTACACTTGGTTTATTTGCTTAGTGTCAATTATAGAAAATTACGATAAAACTTTTTAACATAATAACTATCAATAAATGAATCTAAAAAATCAATTTCACAAACTCAAAAATTCATAAAAGGTGTTTTCCCAAAAATAAAACATATATTTGTTGTTTTTCTCATGAAATGGTAGAAAAATCAAGTAAACAAAGATACAAACTGCAATTTTTTAATCCATGCTACCAAGTAAACAATGATATCCTGCAAAAGCAAGCACAATTTGAGCATGGATTATCGTCTAAAATGGAAAAGAGCAGGCACAATAATAGAAATTACAAATTGAAAGGAGCACCAATATACAACAGTAACCTTTCTTACGAATTTCATTGGCCTACAAAATACGGCATTTTTTTTTTGTTTCTTCTTTTAGTATTTAATTCCCAAATTACTCTTTTAAATAAATTATGATAAGTGGTCTATCTTTGTGCAAAATAAAAATAAAAAAATAAAAAAGAAAAAACCATTATCGACTATTTAATGAAAACAAAAATAGAAAAAAAACATTTTTTGCTTTTTTTAAAATAATAGAACATAAATATTACTACAAGTTTAGCAATTTAATATATTCAATTCAAATATTGAGTTCCAAGGCAATGTCAGACAAAACAGAAAGATAAGAATGATCACAGATGTCCATACATTACTATCATTGCAACGCCATCTTACTTGTTCAGCTCAGGTTTGCAAAGGACGCCTGCCTGAGTAGACACAGATAATAGTTGCTTGTTTGTGTCCGTTCTGCTGACCATGGCATGACCTTAACGTTTCAGATTCTTACAATTATTCATATTAAAACTCCTTAGAAGCATAATAATAGTCAATAGTCATAGACAAACTCATGGCCCTCGAGAATTAGAAACGAGTAGTGATCTGGGAAAAAAGAGCCTTAAAATCCGTAGTTGGGGTGCCGACTCCTTCAGGCTTTGAGGCTAGATCAAATGCCTTAAATTTAGCCTCCTCAAACTTCAGTGCCTGTTTGAAAAGAACAAATAAGATGCATGAAAATGGCAATTCAACAGTGATAACGAAAATACTTCTAAATTGTGAATGTAGCCATGTGAAGAGCAATACCTGTATGCAGACTTCTGCTACATCAGGCCTGGCAATTGTTCTTGTTTCAGTCTGAAGAAGCTCATCATCCTTCCCAACAAGTAGTTCTCTGATGCCACCATCTCTATCTTGCAGCCCTCCAGCCCTAACTTGGCCAGAAAGGGTCAATGTTATTTGTAAAGTTATAAAGGAATTAAACAAACAAATAATGTTGCAGTGCCCTTGCCAATGGCATCACTCCAGTAGAATAGGGATGATATAGATTTAACCAGTGTGCAGAGAGAAGAGATACCACAGGAATGCCAAAGCTAAAAATGACCGGGGTCCGTTTACCTGATAATTGTGTATGGAACACCAGAGTCAGCCAAATACTGCTCAGCCTTTCTCTTCCAGACCTGTGAAAGAAAGAAAGAAGAAACCAGATAATCGAACAGTGATGATAAAAAAAACGAAAACTTGTTCTCTCAAACTGGAGACCAAAAGGCCACCAGAAAAAGAGGGTGAAGTTTATTAGTATAGAAAAGGATGATAACCAAAATGTTCCCATTGCCCAAGCTGTTCAGTGGATGATTAAGGTTTGTTCCACCCATGGATCCAACCAACACAATTTGCTTCACTCCAGCCTCCTTAGCTGCCATTTCAATGTGGATTATCATTATTCATTAAATGGGTTGGTAAAATGACAACTAGACCTTTAGACTGAACATTAAGGAACAAATAAGACGAAAAACTCACCGGCATCTATTTGATTTTTCTGACCGATCCAGTCAACCTAAGAAACAAGATTGATAACCCCTAAATCAGTACAGTGAAGAAAAAAAGAAAACAAGAGTAACAGTGCTAAAATTAGAGGATGGATAGGGTTACTTGCTCAGGGTACGCTCCATCTTCAAAATAGAACTCAGGCCTTCCTCCTTTGGTTGGATCAAATCCAGGTTTCATTCTTGGAACAGCACTAGTAAGAATTATGAGAGCATCAATTCCTAGGATAGCAGGAACTAGACCGCTGGCATCCCTTATATCCCCAACAAAAACATCATCTACTCCACCAATTTTCTCCTTGCTTTCTGGAGTTCTAACCAATCCTCTCACAACAAACTGGTCTGACCTCTCCTTCAATTTCTTATAAACTATCTGACCTGCGAAAGCCCGCAAATAAATTCATGTCAGTACTGGGACATTAACAGCCCATGTTCAATTAAAGAGCATGAAAAGTGTATTTAACTTTTATCTTTTTCACTTCTATAAAAAAGACAATCTACCATGGCAACCAGAAGATTGTAAGCACTTGAATTTGGTAGGAAGTGGCCAAGCAAAGAATACATGGAACTCATCTAAGCATCCCATTGAGAAAATTTTGTTTGACAATTCAATTCAAAACCTATGCAGCATTGCCAAAGGTCATCTTATGGTTGATTTTACACAACCGTCCACTGAAACGATTAATAACCCTTCTAAATGCAGCCTAGATGAAGCATTTTTCCTCTGAAAAGCATTAAAAAAACAATTACCAAGGGCTACATTTTGAAATAACCCTCTTCCAAGCCAGCTTCACCATTTGCCTCCAATTAAGTTCCTTAGATTAGAGTAACAATTTTCTTGATATTTGCAAGAAACCATAGGCTTCCAAAATAAACATTGATGGTCATATCTTCAAAGCAACGAAATATCATAAATCCAAAGCGAACGCAGTATTTGCAACCAATTGTCTTGGCATACAAATAAAACTCCTCTAAATCCCAAACCACAAATAGCCAAAAACTCCATTCACCCACTAACAAAACTCCATAAATATACATAAGTTATTACCTCATTTTATCTCCAAAGAAAAGTTATCTTCTTTAGTAGAACAAAACAAAACTCAAAGACAACAAAAGGAAATCTTTTTAATGAATAAAACAACCAGAGAACGAGAAAGACAGAGAACAAAACAAAAGAAAACCTGTTCTGCCACCGGCTCCAGTGACAAGCACAGTGCTCAAATCTGCCATAGAAGCTAATACCACTGCTGTTCTCCTAAAACCCCTGTTGTCTCTTGTTGTCAAAGCAGAAAAGGAAGACGAAAAAGAGCTAAAACTACGACAAGAGAGAGTAGAACAATCTGGAACTTTTGTGGTTAAAGGTAACGACGATGCCACGCTATTACATTTATGACAGTGACCCAAGGACTTTGATGAAGGACCTGGAACCCTGCTGCTGGAGACGACCAACGGGACACGTGTAAGCGTAGCCATTGATCAAGAAGAGTTGGTTTCAGTTAGATGGAGGAATAAATTTTGCTGACTTTAATTGGGCTTTTTGCTGTTGTTGCCTTAGCGCCGTCAAAGAGGTTGTTGACTTATAAGAGTAGTTTATATTATTTTGATTTTTCTTATCCTGTTAGCCTTTTCCTGGAATACACTGCGTTTCTGAGGCCCACGCACTTTCCCCATGATGACAATTTATTGCTTTAGGTGAAGCAGTTGAGCCACATAGCCCATAATTGAGGTAAGGGGCTGAGGATCTGAAAAAGTCCTGCTGCCAAGGCCCAAGCTTGTTGTCTGAAATACGCATTCTGCTTTACCTGTTGTCTGAAATAAGACATTAATCATATCATGTTCCTTCTATTTTCATACATCAAATCTCCCCCTCTTGATCCGAAATATATTATACAATATATGAGAGAAATGATTAAATTACATCCACTTTCATATATTTTATTTATTTCGTGATTACTACGGCCTTTGGATCGATTAAGACAACACTGATTAAGCCATCCGAAACAGGAGGAAGGATGATTAACAATTCCATTATTTTTAATAGAAAAAGGAGAAATTTCCTTTTTTTTTTATTGATTTATATTTTATATGATGAAGATCAGAACAAGACGTCTACATCATGTCATCATCTGCTGAACAATAACAAGGAATGGGGACAATAGCAATATCATCCCACTAAACATGATTGATATGGCTTTTCCTACTCATAATAGTAAGAAGAAACAACATAGGATCTAAGCTGTCACAGATGTCTCCACACCAGCCTGGCCAGGATAATTGACTTCAGATTTCATGTCGGTTTCCCAGAGCTCTGGTAATGCCTGCTTGATATTGTGAATGCTTTCTAATGCATAATCAGTGGCCTTAGGTCTCTGGGAAGTGCCAACCTGCATATGGCAGATGGACAACAAATTAGCTATTCATCGTCATTTTAAGCAACTAGTTAAGTTAATTAAGACAAAGAAGTTTCAAGGACTTACCAGCACAGTGTGAAGACCAACACGTTTTCCAGCCTGGATGTTGCGAACACTATCATCAAAGAACAACTGAAACAGCAAAATCCAATGATGAAAAGCGTCAGTAGACTGTAAAAGCAATAAACTACGAAATACATGACAGTAAATTATTGATCATCATACTGTTCTGTGAGGGTTGATTTTGGCAATCTTGAGAGCACGCTCTATGGCAGATTCTTGTGGCTTGCAGACAATGGGTGTCTTGGGTAACGTTGCACCTGGCTTGGCCTCAGCAAAATGCGCAATTATGTCAAAAATTTTAAGGCTGCTGGGAGCATCAGCAGCAGCTGATCCCAAAAACTCAATATCATCTTCATCATCAGAAACTGTATTCTTGTGGGTAGGATTAAGAGTCTCAAAGCAGATAATCCCTTCAAAACAGTCTTCTAATCCAAGTTTAGTAAGAGCTTTAGCCGCATGGACCTTGTCCGCATTTGTGAAGATCTATTACAACAAGGGACATTTAAGTTTTTGTTAGGAGACAATTAGATAATAAAAAGTATGATCACTACTTGCCTACGCATTGTGTAATCAACTACTTACAATTTTTCGAAGAGGCAAGGCCTGCAATAGACTCCTCAATTGAGGATCCGGTTTTAGATTCTCATAAGGAAGTCTTCCATGAACATAACTGTTACATACAAAAATTTAAAGATCAATTAAAAGAGAGATAGAAAATGTAAAAAAAAAAAAAAAGAAAGAAAAGAAGGATTTGAATACCTATGGTACTCATCATAGTCAAAGTCATACCCAACTGCCTGCAAAAGGAGAAACAGAGAAAGAAACCACATTAAATTTATGTTATTTACCAGCATGACTCTTTGTTTTATTTTATTTTTTTCTAATGAAAACGATGTTTGAAAAAAGGAAAAGGGTACAGGTGTAATACCCTAAGGCCAGCCATTGTTGTCCCATAATTCTTATACAAGAGGTTGGACAATTCAACAATTTTTTCCTTTTCTATGCCCAGCTTTTCAACCATGTAATCTGAAAAAAATGGCATTCTCCATTTAAAAATTAGATTATCATGGAATCTTGACAGTAAAAATGGGAGCATCCAAGTATAGGAATGCAAATCCTTACCTTTAATGTTCTTTCCACATTCTCTTGCAAGGCCAGAACTAAGAGGATAAAGGGTATCATCAAGATCTGCAAATTCAACCAAATTGTTATTAGATCCTTCTCAGCCATTAGTTCATATATATATTAACCTCGTTTTTTCAAGTAGAGGAGTTACCAAACAGAAGGCAATCATATTTACGCCTCTGAGCTAGTCTGAATCGGTCCTCGTATTCCATTTTCTTTCTTGTTGGTAGGATAACCAGCAAGGAACTTGATCAGAGGACCTTAAATAATCAATGGAAAGAAATTAATATTGAAGTCCAAAATACCTCAAAATAATATTAATATTGATTTTAAATCTCCAATGACAAATTTCCATGGCTTGTACCAAACTAAGGAAACACAGTTTTTGACTCAGATTACCACCATCGAATTTCTTATAAGTGGACAACATTTAGACAGTCCCAGATAGTTGGATAAGACGTTCATTAATGAGTTCATGAGTAGATAAACCACAATCACAACCAGAAACCGAAATAAAGATCAGTTATTAAAATTTAAGAAGCTCGAAAGTTCCATGTCAATGATAAGAAAGGGCTTAAAGCTATGATTAAAGACTAAAAGTAATTAAAACAAAGCTAATGTGATTTATTAACAACGCTTTTAAGTGTTAATAACAAATAAAATGACAAACTTTAAGGAGTTGGAATTGAAAAGTGATGATAATTTTACAAAAAAAAAAAAGCCACCATTTTGATGTATGGCACTAAAAGGTGGTGAATGGTGATAATTAAACAAAGAAAAAGACCCACAATTTTTGTGGATGGAAACCATAAAACCATCTTCCCATCAAAGAAAATTAGCTTAAAACAAATATGCATTACATATCATGGTGCCCTTTTCATTTCGTCATGATAAACATTTTACATGTTTTCTTTTTAAGAACCCCAAAAGCAAAAGCATTTTATTAACAAAATCCAGAAAGCAGAAAGCTTGTGAAAAGAATGACAAAGCATGATTGAAAATATCAAAAGATAAGAAAATGCAAGATAATTTAAGTAAGGCTGCAATGAATAAACACCATACCGGTTTCAAAAACTAGGTAAGCTAATAAAAGCAAGAGTCTTTGAAGGCTAAGAAACAGAGGAAACAGAGAGAAAAATAAATGTTCTCAAGGAAGAACAGAGAGCGAAGGGGGAAGAAGAACAGAGGCCGAGAGGGTTTTTATAGGCAATAACAGTTGGCTCCTTTTTCATTTTAAAATCATTTTTTTCATTTTGTCATTCAAGTTACTCACGTTTATTTTAACTTGTGTTGAAAACAACAGGAAGTAACCCAAAGCAAAAAGCAATCTTTTAAGAAAACAGAAAGTACAAACCAGGTTAGCTGTCCGAACAGGATTCCTTGTTTTGTCCTCGTTTTCAACGGTCCAATTTTATTCGTATGCTTATTATTACAGCAAAATCCAAAATTCCCCAAAATTTTGCAGTAAAGTAATTGGGTAATTTTCTTTCTCAATCTTAAAAAAACAAAATAATTATCTTCAACTTTTTTATCTAATAATTAAATAAATCTTAAAAAAAAAAGAAGATCGAGATTCGATCTCAACCTCTTCCTTTCTCATTTGTTGTAAGACTTTGCTTTCTTTATCAAAAAAAAAAAAAAAAGACAATTGTTACTATAATAATTTAGTTTCTCTGCTGAGTTGTAAACTATTCTGTGGATCTTTCCTATAAAAAAAAAGATTCCAGTTCAACCTGGATTCATTCCAGAGAATTGTGCATTTTATTAATTATAAGAGCTTCCATCGTTCATTCATTCATTAAAATTTTTTATTCAATTCGATTATACTTAAATAACACTTTTACTAATAAGTAATTGTCTTAATTGGCAAAAGATTATTTTTCTGAAACGTAAATGTTTTGAGTTCAAATACAATTGATAGTTTTTTGTTAAGATCATTTTAAATTTATAATTTTCAGTCATTTATCTTAAATTTTTTATCATGATATGAAAAATTAAATAATTTATTTATTTTAATTTTTTTTAACAAAAAAAATGACGCCTGTTGATTTGTAATTAATTTTAATAAACGAGAGTTAGGTGATGCAGTTGAACTTTACATTGTCATTACCCAGACCATGCAATGCATGTGTTTGCATCTTTAATTAAAATTTTGGGATCATTTTCTAGGGTGCCAATAGACCTCCATAATTGAAGACGAAGACAACAAATTCACGTCTGTTACCCCCCAAAAAAGTGTAATAATCAATATCGATCGATATCTGATGAAATTCTTAAATCATACGTATCGCCATTAGGGTTGAAAAAATGAGCAGATTTTGGTCGACTGATCAGGCAATGCCTGTTGTCATCAGCTACCAAAAAGAATGGCAAACTTTTTTATATTTTGGTTTTTGGAATATAAATGATGCATGACAACACTAAACATTTTTCCTACCTGGGTTTGTTGAAAAACCATAAATTTAAAAGAAAAATCATATAAATGTGTATATAATTAGAGGAACAGCCAATGAAAAGGACTAACCCTAATGTAGGCCAAGACAGAAACGTTAGCTGTACTTTAACAAGGAGAGGAAAATAATTGGAGGCCTAAGATTTTCAAAGAATGGGAAAAGCACAAAAGAAGTCGATAGAAAATAGTTGAAAGGGGAAAATGGGGAGACCATAGTTTAATCCTTCTTTCTCATTCAAAGATCCATAGATTATAAGGAAGATGGTTACGTATTTTAAAAAACCATTACTCTCTGGTGGAGGTCTGAGCCTTTTGACAGCACAATTTCTAACTCTTTCCTCTCAATTATTTCAACCAACTTAAAGGGGGTGGCCATGAATATGATTTAATTTTAAATATATTGTTTATTTGTTTGTTTGTTTGTTTGTCATGCTGAAAATTTAGAATTATTATTAAACAAATGATCAACGATGGGTATTATTGCGGGCTCTTAGTTTCTTTCCAGTAGGTGAGGTTTGGTTGACTGGAAAGGCACAACAAAGGGAAGATGATTATATAAGATATGATTTAATCATAAATTTCAAGCAAATGATTTGAACCTGAGATGATGCCGTTTTGCCCAATATTTTACTTCCATCTGGTTTAGCATTGTTGCTGAAAATAATTTTTAAGTTCAAAAAGTGTTTTTATTCAACATAAACGCTAAACAACCAAAAAAATATGATTTTTTAAATCTAAAAATATGATTTACTTATAACTTAAACAAAAAGTCCTCATAAAAAAATTTTTTTGGTGAAAATTGTGTTTGAAATAAAAAAATTATTATATTCCTCACATATTTTTAATTTTTTTAGATATTTGAATTATTCAAAATATTTTTTTACAATAATATCAAATATTTAAAATTTTTAATAGCACTTTTTTTTTTTATCATACTTTTAAAGAGTTTTTTAATTATATTTTTTTTAACTGCAACGATAATGTTAAACAAACCCTTACTCAATTACGTATATAAAATTTGTTAGCAATAAGATGACAATTCTAAGATGCGAAATCTGATGGGGAGTTTGATGCCTATATACTCTTTGAGGTATAATTATTTTGCAAGTTTGCATGACAGCAAATGAATGAGTCGTGCATGATTTGGCTGCTTCCAACTTTCTGACCTTCTAACTTTATCAGGCCAAACTCTTTGGTGCCAAAAATATCTTTAAAAGAAAATATCTTGCAACAAACGTTGATGCATTATTCGTTAGATGCCATTTTCATGGCAGAATTTAAAGCAAGAACAATCCAATGCTGAACAGTGATGACAGGTGAACTCACCGACCATGAATTCCATGGTTTCCTTTCCTTACCCCCAAATCCAGGAAAAAATAAAAGAAAGATAAGAAACTGAATCTCTGTCACCCCTTTTGGGTTGAGATGAGTTGAAAAACAAGGGTGGAGTCTTTGCTGTTTTGTATTATCATCTGTTTATGCAAGTACATTGCTCAAATCTGTGTGCTTTTTTGGCTCTTGGGGTGATGTTTTTATTTAGTATTCAGTCTGTCTTGTTTATAGAAAAAGGTTGATTAAACAAAACTATTAAACTATCCAATCATGATTAAGAAAAGCACTTTGTTTTAAAGGTTAGGTTGCTGAAACAATTAAACAAACCAAGGAATTGACAAATTGTACTGAAGATTTGTACAGCCTAGAATAGAATTTCTATAGGAACTTCTCGATTAAAAAATTCTATTATTTTCAAGCCGAAAAGAACCCACAAATGATCGGTGATGAATTATTAGTCCTGCTGGAGAGCATGCTGCTTGTCTGAGTTTTGCTTTACAACAAGGAGGCCATTAGTGTTTGGATTTATGGGTAAGCTTTTTGTAGCAGTCTTTTATGCTCTGAAGCAATACTAAAATCTTGTCAGCTTTCGCAATTCCTGGTAGCCCACAACCCTCCCATTATTAATTTATGGATTTTATATTTGAAATATTGTAGAATCTGTATATTATCAGTAAATAAAATAATATTATTTCATTAATAAAATAAATTAGATGATATTATTTTATTAATGAATAAATTTTTTTAAAAAAATTAATTTTTATATATTTAATTAAAAAAAATTATTATTCGTTAATGAAATAATATTATTTAATTTTTTGATAATATATCCATATATTAATATTGTATTAAATATAAACTCTTAATTTATTATACCACCATTTTAGCCTTAACGTTTGAAGCGTTGCTGCTGTATTGGAGAAGGTCGTTCTTGTTCTTTTTGAGTGGAGTTTGTGTTTTTGCTCGTGGGAAGAGGCTAATCCACGACTCTTTCACGGGATCCAGAGAAAGTAATACTTATATACATACCGATCATATGGGCCACATATTTCGTTTTAACAATTGGGTTCTTTTTTGAGTCTAATTTTGGGCTTTAAAGCCTTTTTCCCTCCTTCCTTTGAATTCCAGATTCTAAGATAAGAACTAGTTAATTTGATTTACAAGAGTCCCTTAATCAACATTAATGGAGATTATTATATTTTAATTGGGTTTCAACCCACTAAGCACAACATTCACCTAATGCTAGAGTTTATTCTTATATAAAAAACATGGATTATAATTAGGAGACCAAGACAGTGAAGCAGGTGATGTAGGAGGAGAACGTGACTGGGAAGATGAACAAGAAGACGAATTGGAGGAAATATTGTTGTGTGATGGATTCCTTATCATCCAAGGCACCACATCCTCAAGCAACCCTTGTTGGCTAAATTGTTGCGAAGCTATTTCTTCTCCAGGGCAGCCCTCGAACGAGCTAGGCGGCAGTGGCTCGTAGTTGGTATAATTTGCTGTTGTTTCTTGGGCTTCTGTTGTTTGTGAGGCTCCAAAGGCCTGTGATTCAGCTTCTGAAATGGCCTTCTTGGGCTTCTTGGTTGGTGAATCATCTTGAAAAGGCTGGTTGAGTTGGAAACATGGGTAGGGAAAGTGTAGGTGAAACCCTTCATAGGTGATGATGAATGTATCTGGATCATCTCTGGACCTCTCCACCTGCTTCTTTGCATTGCATTTTGGGTTCGTGCACTTGTAATAGCTCCTGTTTCATGCCAATACATAAAAGAAAAATTACTACTAGTACTTCGTTTTTAAGTACTTCCACCTCCCATGCATGCATCTCATTTTCTTTGTGGGATACAATGAAAGACGAAATTTGATAGTAAAATGCATGCATGAACATGATAATGCAAACAGACTATATGCATAGTATGCAGCTAGCAGATAAACTTCAAACCATGGAAACTTTCTGTATGGCCTTCTGTCATTGAAGGAACTTCCATTTGAGGAAACTGAATACATTCAGATGCTTGAAAAAGAAACGTTTTCACTTTCCACTTTTCAAAAGCAACGCAAATCTATTTACTTATTAATTTCATTCTAATCTTGATTAACCAGTTTGAATGACATGGTAATTTTGGAATAAAGTAAGACCGTTCATACCGCAAAGAATCATCACTAAGTAGCTAGAAAGGAAAAAGAGCTGATAATACATGAATTCAAGTACGATTTTATTGAGATTGGAATTTTTCTATAGTTTCTCCAGAGAGAAAACTAAAGAAGGTGATGATTGACAGATATGAAAAAGAGCAAGCCAGCTGGAAAGATAGTTACCTTGGATTTGGGCTGTTTTTGATCGATTTTTGTCCATATTTCCTCCATTTATATCCATCATCTGCCATGCCATTGCCACAGCTTTTAATCTTTAGAGTATACTTATGCTCTATCTTAGTCAAACCTCTTTCCAGAATAGAATTAATTCTGCAAAAAAGAATGTTCAGTTAATATTCAAATAAGAATTAGTCATGAGCACAAGAAATCCAGGGGAAACCTAATTAACCTGGTTTGCTGTTGTGCTTGGCATTGATCCTTCCACGTTGTCACTGATAAAGCATTCTCGACATCTTCAATTCTTAACCCTGAATAGATAGTGAAGATGAGTCGTTTAGTGGCCTCTTCTTGTGAAGTTTTTGATATGGGTTGAATTGTCTCTCGAGGTAGGACAAAGAAAGGAGACTCATCATCAAGAAGGTCACTCACAAGTTCAATATCTTCGGAGCAATCAAACCAATCATCCCTCTGATCTTTCTTCATTACACTGTACTCTCAGCAATTCTAAATTAAGCCTTTCATTAAACTAAGTGAACGAAAAACGTAGCTGTTACAAGAAGAAGAACCCGAATGAGATAATGCAAGATTAAGTAGCTAGGAAGAGGAAAATTTATGGCGAAAGAAGAGAGAGCAGTGAAGCAGATGAAGCAGGAAGTTTATGACGTTTAGTTCTACGTGTGAGCCTTCTTGACTTTAAATTAAGAGTTGCTAGACAATTAGGCTTTTGTTTTTGAAGAGAAGTTGATCAGAGTTGTACTTATATATGTTGATTATGCTAAGAATTTCCTGCCTTTGTAGTTGTTAAAAATTTTTGGTTAACTGTACACAGGGGCACCCCCCCTCTCTTTGTTTCTTAATGGGGTATCTCCCCTTTGCATGCAGAAAGTAAAATGGCATTTGGTAGCATTAGAGTCTTTAGATTCACAAGAAGGCAACAAATCATCAAAGGTTAAAACCTAATTTGATTAAACAATGAAATTAGGATGAGAAAGTGGTTAAACATTGTATTTAAGATCTTCAAACCAAACTTGAAAAAAGAAACCAAAATCATCAATAGAATTGGTTATCCAACATGCATCATGCATGCTCCAAAACTTGAACATTAATGATGCAATCGATCCAGATCTCAGATTTGCATTTAGCAGAAGCAGACAATCAAAATGAAATCGTTTTAATGGGGGGCAATATCTTCTCTTTTCCAATTTCCATGTGAGAAACTGATATAAAACAAACAAAGGCTAATAAAAGATACAACTTTATCTTCAACACGAGACGATTTCCGAGCAGTTGCTTCAGAGTGAGGGAAGTTTTGTAGGTATTCGGCTTTGACTTTGTGAATCCCAGAAAACCAAAGGTGAACCTCACCCTGATCCTGACCTCTCCTTAGAACGTCAAGACAAATGGTTTTGACTGTCATAGTGGAATTGGGTTTAGTTGCTTCTGTTGCTGCCTGCACCAGCAAAGGTGTGGTGCGTTGGTTAGCAGCCAGCCAAAACCATGCCTATGTGAACGTTTTCTCCCAAGTCAACCCTTTATAATGTGGGACCATCTGGCCTGGGATTCAGTGACACGTGTTATGGGACCTGGCTTGAGGCTCCACTCCTGGTCAAAACTCACGTGTGAAGAAAATGGAGCAGTTTGAAGTGTTCCCGTCGCGTCGAAGTCGGGTGCCCCCAACAAAACCATGTTAGTGCAAAACAAAAGAGGGACGTTTTTTTGTCTTGGGTGCAATGCGATTGAGTTCCGAGTATGGCATACAGTGGCAGTTTTAATTTACCGAATTTGTACATATATTTTTTGCTTTGCTTAAATTCATGCAAAATGATTAATTTGTTGACTGTTGTGGATTATAAGGCTTAAAATTTGTTTTATTTAAATAATTTTAATCTCTTTTAATAAATCTAATAATTTGAAACAAAAAAATATAATACAAAAATTATATAAATAAAAAATATAAAAATATAATTATTTAAAATTTTTAAAAATTCATAAATAAATTTAATAAAATCAAAAAATTATATTTTATATTTTTATATTAAAAAAATTGTAATATATGATTATCTTATAAAATATAATATAAATATAAAATTTTACACGATACCATAATATTAATATTTGATTTAAATTTTACACATTAAAAAAATATGTTGGGCCTAACTTTGGGTCATTGCAAATCTACAGTTCTTAAACTGGGTCTTTAAAAAGTGAAATTAATTCAATAATTCTTCGTATCTACGTATCACAGCTTTCTTTATAAAAAATTAAAGCCCGTTACCTTCTTCATTTACTTACTCAGCAGTGGGCCCATTGAAAGCGATTCAGCCATCAATTTATGGCCACCTATTCAAATCCAATTAAAATAATCCATGAGATTCTCTGAACCAAAAAAAAAATAAAAAATGCCCAAGAACGGGCGGTTAGGATTCTATGCAACCAATTGTCCCGCGCAAACGCCGACGGAGTCGGGCGTCCTGTTTGAAAAAGGTCCCACAACTAAATAAACAAGGCTCAAAGTGGGCCACCTGTACCACACGTAGATTAACCAACCCACTCATCACCCGCCACGTCGACCCAACAACTCCTGCTTAGCTATCACCCGTCCCCACCGCACGAACTAAAATCACCGGTATTTATAATTTCTGTCCATCACTCCTCAAAAATTAAAAAAGGGAAAAAGAACGCCGACGATCCCACGAACATTCCCCATTTTTTCCCTCTCCCACCGGTTTTTCAAAATTTCAGAAGTTTAAACAAAATTCAGGTTTTTTTTTTTAAATAATACAAGTCTACAGATTTTAGCTTTCCAAAGAAATGGAGAGATCTGGTACGATAGAAGAAGGGTGTACGACGCCGAAACACCGAATCCCGGAGGCGTTTCAATGTCCACAGCCGCCGAGGAAGAAATCACACGTCGAAGCAAAAAGGGAACCACCGAAGAACGGTTATTTCCAGCCGCCTGATCTTGATGCTCTTTTCACTACGCAGCCTAGGCGTGAAGCTTGTGCTTAGTAGTTAAAAGACTTCATTTGCATTATTTATTTTTTTCATAAATTTCAATCCTAAATATATGATTTAGGGTCAGTGTTTGTTTATCTCAAAAAAATCATTGGAAATGTTCATATCCTTGAACATTCGGGGTATTATCTATTAGTAATATTTGGGAATCCTTGTGTGTTGAAATTCAACTGTTAAATGATAAACATGGTTTGCTTCAATGCTGATGGGGAAACTCTGCATTTCGAAAATTGATTGTGCTGCTTTGGGCGTTCGTATTGGTTATAACATATTTAAAAATAATTTTGAAAAATTTTTGTTTTTAGATTAATTTGATTATCGAATATAAAAAAGCTCAAAGATAAAATTAAAAATACATGAAATAATCGGTTTCATTTTATAATTATAAGTTTTTAATTTAATATTTGAATATTTTAGTAACAAAATTAACAAAAATTTTAAATTTTAAATTAATAAATTCTGTTCAATTAATAAAAATAAAATAATTTGATTTGATTTTGATAATTTTGGCTCGAAATTAACCTAAACAAACTAAGTGCTCATGCAATATCAAAACACTGATTTAATATGAGTATGAAATACGTAATTAATTAGTGATTGTAGGGAAAGAAGATAGATTGTTAATATAAAGATGGTAAGTTTAAGATAACATTGATAATAGTACATTGTTTAAACCAGAGACAAAAGTTCTCTACTTCCTGAACCAGGTTCTGTCTACACCTCTGGTTCCTGTAATGTCTCCCAAGTCCCAATGTAACCAGTGATGTCGAAGATTTTTAGGTTTGACCAATCAATTTTATTCACAGGGCAAGCAATTGAAGCACTTCAGCTCGATTGATCACGACCCTTAATTTCACTTCACCAGTAACATAATCATGGATTCTATCAGAATCCACCGTTTTTTAAGGAGCAGATATCAGTCATTTTCAGGGGTGGCATGGATCGGATGGCACATCGTTCTCTCCAAACCAGTTGGCTCAAAAGGAACCTAGCCAACCAACATATCAAACTGACGACTTCTGGTCTTTTTGTTTCAGACTTTTAAAGACTTGTTTTCAACATACGTTTGTAGCTGGCAATGTTTTTGTAGTTTCCACACGCTTTCTTGGTTTCATTCAAAAGTAGTAGTTGCAACAGATTAAGAAAGGTATCGAACATAAAAAAGGAACGAAAATGGTAACATATAGCCCTTCTGAGTGGGACTATTCGACTGTTGGAACTTTAATATTTCTTTAGTTTGGAACATCTACGCTGGCTGTTTATCGGATTCGAGATATGTGTTTTTGTTAATGCAGAAATTGAACTTCAATGCATACCATAACCCTGAAAAAAACTAGTACATGTAGACTTCGTCCGAAACCGCACATAATCCGATCCTGATTAATAAAAAAAAATTCTTCTAAAGTACAATTACAAGAATCGAATCCTGATTGATAAAGAAAAAGTACTCCTCTCCTTACCAACAATGGACTAATCGTTGTGGACTCAGTGTTAAGGTTATTGACAGTGCTAAACTCTTCCAAGGAGGCATTACTGTATATTTCTCACCATTGTTTTGTGGAGAATAATAAGGGATAAGATAACGAGTTCGATTGGACGTGAAAATGTTGAAACTGAAGTTTGACAATATATTTTAATTAATGTTTGCTTACGTGAAAATCATTTAATAATAGGTTGAAAAAACTATTCCTTAGTTTCAAAGCCAAAATAGTTGAGGGAGGTCCATTCAGGTTCTGAGAATTTTGAAACAAGGGAAGTAGGAAGTACCTTGAGAATACGGTAACAAGGGCAAATACCTGCAACAAAGCCATGGCTTCTTAATCCCATGCATGTTTGAAATTCCAATCAGATTTCCTTTATTATGTTCTAGATTTTTCTTTGGTTCATATGCACGCTAGCTTATTGAAAACCATTAATTACTTAAAACGTCATAATTCTGCTATGATAATTTAAATCTATTTGGAAAAATAGGAAAACCCTGAATAAAAAAACCTAGAAACTTTAGACGTGTATCCTGACAAGTGATAAAACGACGTTTAAATAAACTCCCTGCTCTGACATTTTTTCCATCCAAAATTTAGAGGCCAACTGGTATTCCAAAGAATTTCTCATAATTTGATACTGTAGGGTGGAGAAAATGTTCCAGGGAAATTGGAATACAAGCAAGTAAAATGTAGTTAGGTAAAATTAACCAAGGGAAAGGTACTAGAGATTAATGATCCTGAAATACTAAGGAAATTTTGGTTCGCTTCAGGTTTCATTTCAGTGTCAAAGGCTTTGAAAAAACGCAAAAGTAAATGTATAACTACCCCTATCTTTTCAGTAGTTGGTGAATAATTACTGCAGTGAAAAAAAGTACATATCGTGGATTATAATATTATTGTTATCCTTTGTTTTTAACTTTATCTTATTACCTAAAGCAAAAACTTTCAGATATTTGTGCCAAGCGTTTGTTGTTGGAGGGTGAAAAAACGTGGATTTTTATCCGAATGTCCATTGATAAATAATCTACTTGCACTTCATGGCTTTGTAAAGGACAGTAGAGAAGGGTCATTCTGGTAATCAAAATTGACTTAAATGGTTAGAGAAAAATCTTACTTTGTCAACACTCTAAAATTCAGCTCGACCAACAGCAAAGCGGAGCACACAAGGTGACCATCTTAACAGTGGACGTGTAACTCCAATAAATGAAAATCTTAGCACCTAATCAACAATAATCATGTCCCTATATATTAAGCATCCTTATGTCTAGCCTTGCATTCCTCAGCTATTTGCTCTTCAAACTTAATTGGCAAATCAAAGTTGCCCATTGTTCCTTCACCAACTCACCAGCAGATCAAAGAAAGAAATGGCAACCTCACATCTTCCTTCATCATTTCCTTCAATGGCAATGATATTTTCTTTCTTTCTTCTATTACTATTGCTGGAGAATGCAGCAGGGGAAACAAGGCACTACACTTTCAATGTACAGTATTGACACAGTTCTTTAATTTTCTTTTTGAAGTATACTTACAAACTTTTAGCTTGATGCTAAATACTTTTATTTTTCTTTTAAATGATTAAGATTCACTACCACAATGTTACAAGACTATGCCACACAAGGGCTATTCTCAGTGTGAACCGACAGTTCCCAGGGCCTCGGTTAGTGGCAAGGGAAGGTGACAGAGTAATTGTTAAGGTGGTCAACCATATTGCAAATAATGTCAGCATTCACTGGTATGAATCTTTTAATTCAAATGTTAATGGACACCATATAGTATTGTTAAACTTTTAGATAGTAATTTGGTGATTTTAAATTTTATTTGGGAAACAGGCATGGGATTAGGCAGCTTACGACTGCATGGTCGGATGGACCTTCTTATATAACACAGTGTCCGATACAAACAAACCAGTCATACACTTATAACTTCACAATCACAGGACAAAGAGGAACTCTCTTATGGCATGCTCATCTCTCCTGGTTGAGAGCAACGATCTATGGACCGATCATCATTCTCCCAAAGCGCAATGAATCTTACCCGTTTGAGAAACCCCACAAGGAAGTCACCATCTTGTTTGGTAAGAAACTCTGAAAATTGGCATAATGTAGCCATAAGAATTAACTTCATGTCTTCAGGTTTTCTAAAACTACTAGCTGCATGGATTGGGGATTTCAGGAGAATGGTTCAACGTAGACCCAGAAAGTATAATCAGCCAAGCACTCCAGACAGGAGCTGGACCCAATGTTTCTGATGCATATACTATCAATGGGCTTCCCGGGCTACTCTACAACTGTTCTTCTAAAGGTATCAGTTTATGCTGAAACATACACATTTTTTTTATGAAATGGACAGGTTCGCTTTAATTTTACGTTGTCTGACAACATGGTTTGTCACAAAAGATTTGTCAAAAAGGTTGTTAGGAAGATTGCAGTTCACAGTTTTTGTTAAAACAAGGTTAACATCCTGAAAAAGGCAGGCTAATTGGGTATCTTGACTATTTTCCAATGCAAGTCAAGCCATCCATGCAAGTTTGACTTTAACGTGTTTGCTTCTGTGTGAGTGTTGCAGACACATATAAGCTGAAGGTGAAGCCAGGAAAGACATATCTCCTCCGATTAATCAACGCTGCACTCAACAATGAGCTTTTCTTCAGCATAGCCAACCACACCTTAACGGTGGTTGAAGGCGACGCCATATATATTAAACCCTTCGAAACTGACAGGCTCCTCATCACACCAGGCCAAACCACAAATGTTCTCCTAAAAACCAAGCCTGAATTCCCAAATGCCTCCTTCCTCATGGCTGCTAGACCTTATTTCACTGGACAAGGCGCCTTTGATAACTCCACCACCGTAGGAATTCTTGAATATGAACATCCATCCCATCACAAATCCTCTAAAAATCTTACTTTATTTCAACCAACCCTCCCTCCTATTAATGCTACAGGATTTGTTGCAAACTTTACAGGGAAATTTCGTAGCTTGGCCAATGCTAAATTCCCTGCTAACGTACCAAAAACAGTGGACAATAAATTTTTCTTCACTGTAGGACTTGGGACGAGCCCCTGTCCTAAAAACACAACCTGCCAAGGACCTAATAATTCAAGCAAATTTGCTGCTTCAGTTAACAATGTGTCATTTTCACTCCCATCTGTTGCTATGCTCCAAGCTTACTACTTTGGACAATCTAATGGAGTTTACACTACTGATTTTCCCACACAACCATTAATTCCATTTAATTATACTGGCACAGCACCAAATAACACAAATGTGATCAATGGCACACGCGCGGTGGTGCTACCATTTAACACGAGTGTAGAGCTGGTGTTGCAGGACACTAGCATTCTTGGTGTTGAGAGTCACCCACTTCATTTTCATGGTTACAATTTCTTCGTTGTTGGACAAGGTTTTGGCAACTTTGATCCAAACAAGGACCCTTCCAACTTCAATCTTGTAGACCCCATGGAGAGGAATACAGCTGGTGTTCCTTCTGGTGGTTGGCTAGCCATTCGGTTCTTTGCAGACAACCCAGGTAAATAATCTTCTAAAAATAATCATTTACCTTCATAAACGGGTAAAATCTATGGCTTACAATTTTATGCTGACTTGGGAAAGTTATTATTTGGGTTGCGAACAGGGGTGTGGTTCATGCACTGTCACCTGGATGTTCACACAAGCTGGGGACTGAAAATGGCATGGATAGTCTTGGATGGTCCGCAACCAAATCAGAAGTTGCAGCCACCACCGTCTGATCTTCCACAATGTTGATTTTTAGTTATCATTATTGTTCCAAATACCTAAGGGCTACACAATTTTCCTTTTTGGTTCCCATGCATTTTGAGTGTTTCTGAATCTTCAGCGCTTTGTACTTGTAGCTTGATTTTCATGCTATTGCTTTGATGTGGTACATGTCATTGATCAGGGATGATGGTTTGTTGGTTGATGGAATAAACAACAGCTGAAGTGCACACATCCGATGCATTTATCTCATTTAATTTCTATGTTTTGCTTTTAACATTAAGTCCAACCATCGTCTCCCCTCAATTACTTTCCTTTCTGCTATCATTAATAGTTTGCTGCAAACAAAAGTTGATCTAATTACTTCCACCTAAACTTGACGTCCATGGTTAATAAAAGATTGCAGATAATCGGGTTCGCTCTGTATTGCATCATTTTATGTTGGTTTTACAATGCAAATACATTCCTTTTTTACCACGTCGGATCTCTTAGAGAAAATCCAGCAGTTAGGACAAAGCAATTTGAGAAATGAAACTCTTTTTTGGATTTGATAATAGCTATCAAATGAAGATTAAAATCCACAACAGTAGGTCAATAGCAGTCTAGAACCAAGTTTTGCAGCTGTCCTTCAAGATTGTCACCACAATTCGACAACATAGTTTATGCCTCTTGATTGATTTATAAAGAACTCAGTAGTCGACATAATTTCAGCTAATAGAATAAGCTTTGTATCTTTAATGGTTTAAGTTTAATTTATTATTTCGCCAAAATTGTAAGATGAATGTTTTTTTTTTTTTTTTTGGGTTTGTCCTACCATCAATTTAAAACAGATTCAAGACAAAAGCAAGAAAATCAACAGTTGATAACATCTGAAAAGGACTTACTAACCGAGCATATGCAACAAGACTCAACTAATGAAAGGATCTGCAAGTAAACAAAATCTGCAATATCGAACAAAACATACAAATGAGCGATCAAATGGGTCTGTGCAAAAAGAATAATGATAATAGCAGCATAAAACCACATTTTATAACTATCAAATAATATATACAACAAAACTTAAGTTGGCTTTGAACGTAGAAAGGGAAAAGACCAAGCTAGAGTTACCTCAAGACAACCACAAATAACAAGCCAATTATGATATTTTGACTTCGATGTCAAGCCATATACAACAATATATATACACAGCTTAGACATTCATATAGAAGTACTCTCCTCTACAGCATAAGCATGGAAAAATACTGCTCAAATTCTTGATCAATGGTTGGTTTTCTTGTCGTTTGTGGAGCCTCTGCATTAAAATAAAAAGTATACTTCTCCTCAGTTTATTAAGGAAAACCAAATTTAATAGTGATTACGTAGGGACATGGTATATGCAATGCATATATATTTTCAAAGTCATAGGAACTACCTTGGTTGACACTCCATCGTCCAGATGAAAGAACATAAACATTTGGATTTGCTCCATCACAGTTGAGAATTTCTTCAATTTCCTTATCTTGGTATTGCTCTATGGCATAGTTTCCGTATCCTGAGTAGATGTAATCTATATGGCTTCCAAACTCTACAAGGGACTCATCAAGATTCTCAGCTAGTTCAACATCAGCAAGTTCAGGCCTCCCTCCAGGAGAAGATAGTACTTCTTTTTCGACACCCTTCAATGCTACATTTGTACCATAGGAAGAATAATGGGAATCTTGGGAGCTGGATCCCCAATCAGACGATGAAGAGGAAGCCCTATCATACGGTAAATACTTTGCATCATCTGTTCCAAATTTAACTTCAGCATGCACAGATATTGCAGAGTCAGAATCTTCAGCAAAGCTATTACTATCTTTTGCCGATCCAGTTTCAGAAACATCATAAACAGCCCCTCCCTTTTCTTTGAGAGTGCATGGACTAAACCCCTCTACTTCCAGTATACTGCCAAATGTAGGAGGCTTCAATGATAAGCTTTGCTTCCAACAATGATGCTTAGACACAGGCAAAACTAATTGCTCAGCCTCTAATTTCCTTTTCTTGTTTAAGTCAACAATGTTGAGTGACTTGTTGAGTGAGCTGAAAATGATAATAGAAACGGTAATAAGAAAAAGAGGGAGAGATGTTTGCAAGTAGAGGCCAGATGCCACAATGATATATCCAAAAAGAAAAAGGAAAGGCAATCTATTTAGCAGATCAACTTTCCTTCTCATTTGCTGACCAAAAGTTATAACATAGAAAAAAAATTCAAGATGCCTTAGCCATTGATTATTTTGGTCCCATTAAGGTTCGAAACAAGATCTACAAGTTAAGGACCAAAAACCTCTAAATGACTAACACAGGCAGAAATGATACCATTAAAGAATTAAAAGGATTAGATCTTAACACTTCCAACTTGGGGCTTCTAGTTCAAACTTCGTCGAATTAGAGTGGAATTTAATGTCTAGAGGATCAGGTCATTTACGTTGATTAGCATAATTCATGGTACACCTCATTATGTACTAAAAAGCAATGAACGAAAAGGAATCATGACATCATCCTTGATCTTAAAGTATTATGTAAGTTTAAAAAGTTTGTTTTGAGGGTCCCGAAGATGATGTGCAAACAAAGGTTATTTCTTTAACTTAACATCCGAAGACAGCAGGAGAAACAGAGAATTTTCATTACATACTTAGTACTTTTGGTAAAGGAGGCAAGAAGTTTGTCCAAATGAACAACAAAACAAGGCATCTAGTTCAAGATGAAGAACAAAATAGTTACTGATCATAAAAATTTCCCTCAAATTTACTGATAAGCTAAAAGAGTAAAACCCCATCAAACATGGAGAACCGGTAGCTAGCTGGTAATGACAGTTGCTGAACTAAAGAACAGCAAAGGATCAGACTATTAACTAAAACCTATAATCATAACTTCCATACCCAAAATCGTCTTCCAAAATTCTAAATGTTTCTCGATTTAGTGAACGTGTTAGCTGATTCACAAAAAAAAAAAAAAAAAAAGAAAGTTCAAAAGCATGCCGACATCAAGACAAAGATTATATTATTTGAAGAAAATTAACTAACTAGTACATGCAATTAATGAGATACAAATCGTTGGAACAAATCATGATCAAAGAAGGTAAGAAATCAAAGACCCAGAAACCGAACCTCTTAATCTGAGTTGGGTTGGTTTCATCATCTACTTCCATTTTCGGACACACACGGCCAGAAAATCTGCAACTCTCAGATGAGGGTGAGGAGGCAGCAGCTACGACTACGGACTTCCATTTTCCTTCGTGGATACCCGAGAATAAATCCGCTTTTCTTTGTCACTTCGCATACGATTGAAAAAGTTCGCGGAACACACGAGCCAATAACATGCTGACACTTTGTTATTCTTCACATTGAAGGTTGAAGCATTTGTTTCGTATTTTGGGATAGCGCGTGAGCTGATAACTCGGATAAAGACCAAGCTAGGCCACGTGAGTTTTCCCTATGTGGCGCGATGTTCGTAATCAGAGGGCCCCACTATCTAAATTATTACTATTTATTTCTGACTGTATTAGTAAAATGACTATTAAACAGGGAAAATATCAAAATTCACCTGTACCTTTCTTAAATTTATACTCCTTACCTTACATTTCAGAAAATTTTTTATTTAACCCATTTTTCTATTAAAATTTAAAATCATACTCTTGTTAGTTCTACAGCATTATTTTGGGTTGAAATTCCATTTTAAAGCTGTTCTGGCATTTTCAATTTATTTTAAATTCAAATTAAAATTTACATTTTTAAAATTTTTAATTTTTAAGTCATTTGATTACATAAATGGGTTCTTGATATGGTCAAATTTGACAGAATGGCTCAAATTCGGTGAACTTTTACCACATAAAAATTTGTACTGCTACAATCAGTTGAACCTTATTATATAAATGTTAATCTCCTTTTTTTTTTTTTGTAGGAATTTGTCAGACAGAAAAAGAGGCAGAAAGAATAACAGCAAACAATATAAATTTATGAGAGGGTGGCATGCCACTTCTTTATGAGCTGTCTGTATTTGCAAATTGGTAAAGATATGGGATAAAGGCTCTAAACAAATATATCCCTTTGGACCTCTTTAGAACTCTGAGGTTATGACTGTTGAGCTGGAGATGACCAAAGAGATGGAAAAGCAGAAGAATTATTGTATTGAGAAAAACAAGTACTGTAAGAAACAGAAATGTATCAAAATTTTTGTCTGTGTTTTAGAGTTACAGGGATTTTACAGTTCTTTTACATGATTGATACATCTGTGTCCGTTGATTTGCATGATCACTTCCATATTGATGCCCTCTTTATGGACAAGGTATCAAAGTACAAAAACCTACCCCTACAGTCAAGCTCAGAAAAGGCAAGAAAAAAAAGGAAAAGTAAAACCCCACCAATCCTATTTCTAATTCCTTTGCAGACTGCTTTGCCTGGTTATGGACAAGGGACCTTTTCGCATCCTCATCCATTATCACTTGCAGCAACAGCTTCAAAGGCTATCTGACATAGTGTTGCCAGAAAGTAATGAATGATCTTTCCTAATTCCCCTTTCCTGACTACAGTAAGGTGATAGCTGTCACGGGCCAGGAGCTTAAGCCTATAAAATAGCTACGTGCTAGGATAACTTAAAAGGGGAATACCAGTTATGATCACAAGGTAAGCATTCATCAATCCGTCAAACATTGAAAACTTTTGATATTGCCAAGGCAATGTAAAAAATAATTGAAACTTCATGTTGATATTGATGCAGCAGATATGGCATCATAGACTGTTCGAAAGCGTAGACCATTACCTATGTGTCTCGATGCGGGGCATATCCAGCAGAAGATACTTGGACCCAATACCTGAAACAATCAGATGGCAATGGATGAATATGTTCTAAATATGTTCCAGCCTTCAACAAAAATAAATGAAAAGGAAATAAGGCAAAAAATGCACCAAGTTAATGATGTTAAATCAAGTTATGATGATCAGATCATCATAGTTGGCAGGTTAAAACTTCGCATATAGAGACTGATTAAAATATATAAGATTGATGATATTTGATCGCTCAGAAGCTACAATCTAAAGCTAACAGTAAAAAGCCATCATCTTCTATGATTCATCAAGATAAAGTCCTGATATTTAAGTCTTATAAAAAGCCATCAAACATCCCTCAGCATAGAAAAAGGAGACAAGCATATGCAGTTCCATTTCTAGTTATTACCGTTGTTAGATTTTCATAGGCACCGAGATCATATGGATGCTCATAGACATTTCCTCCTTTCTCCGCAAGCCACATAGCTCTCACCCCTTCATGATACTGCCGATTTTTAACAAAAATAAAAGGAAAAAAGTAAAAAAAAAAATCATTCTAAATTTAAAACCAGATAGTGGTGTAAATAATTCCCATTACCTCAATTGTGGACTTATTTTGCAAAATGAGGTAGATATGCCAACCCAGCAAAACACTTAAGGCAACACTTAATGGGACTAGCAACAGTCCAGAAATAACCTGAAAATGCTAAGTCATAAGCATAGCACTAATAAGGTAAGTTCTAGCTCTAAAAGGTAGGTACTCATTGACATTACATATGTGATTCTGAAAGAATCTGCACTTTGCTGCTCATCTTTTTGGGAATCATTAGTTATGCTACCCACAAGTAAAACCTGACATTAAGAGAATAGAAAAAATAAATGAGAAAAAGACCAAAACGCCTCATCAGAAGCCAGCTAGAGATACCCGGTAAAACTAAATCGCCATGGCATAGGTCAATCCAAAGGAAGAAAAGGTACTAATTTGGAAGCCAATCAAGTCAAGTACAAAATTAAAGCATAAGAAAGAGCTTCTTAAATCAGAAAAGACAATTTCGAAATCCCACAGTAAAATAAATATGTTATTATGATACAACGTACCAAAGAATAGATGCAAGCAATTACGGCATATACAATGAAGACGAAGAAGACCTTGTAGTTGGAATGGCCGACACAATTACTAATCCAAATGCAATGATGATCCTTATAATCAACAAGAGCAACTTTAGCACATTATTGAGGACATTTTAGACATGCATGAATGATAAAATAGATTGCACATACCATTCTCAGAACACATTTCTTGCAAACGCGACAGTGATGTGCGCGAGGAGGTTTAAAATGAGAACACTTTTGACAATATCTCAAATCCCCTCCCTACAAAATATTTTGAACAAAGGTCACAATCTGGAAATAGATGACTGAAATAAAAGTTATGCATCAAAAACATAAGTCTATTAACCTCACATATGCAATAAAATTTCATCGACTACACCAATTCCTGATATTACCCTGGTCTAAACACACTTTATAGAGGAGTCCACCCAAATTATGAAGATTTTAACTCCACTTACATGTGGACCTTTTGTCCCATTGAAATTATTTTGATTTAAGTTCTGCACAAATCCTTAAAAGCAACAAAAATAAAAATCAGTCTTTGATAGAAGACAAGATTCAAGCAAACAGGAAAAACCCAACTTTTTTCAATTGTCTGGTTCCAAGTAAAAGTCAACGTTAATACGAGAGATCAAATGTGACCTGCAATGACATCAACTTCTGATTTTAAGTTATCCCTTAAACAAACAAGGAGATTATAACAGAGACGCAAGACGATAATACGTCCCCTGACAATGACAATAAAAGTACTTGTAGATAGAGAGACCTCAATGACAGCATTACAGCTAGAGCATCGTCCTAACATGAATGATGCAGCACCAAAATAACGGTCTCTGTTATGATTAACAATCAAATGACACATAACAGTGTTTGTTATGACTAAGGTCAAATTTACAAACAAACTAAGGTGGCGTACTCTTTACCTTGCTGCTATTATAAGTGCTTTCTATAAAGCAGAATAAATCAATCAAACCCCTGAATGCAGGAGCAAGTTAGGGGCAATAATTTATTCTGCTTTCTTTCCCACACTTATGAACCAATTATTTTTTACTCGATTATCCACATAGGTCATCTACTCATCGTAGAACATTTTTGACAATGCATTTACATCTATCTCATTTCTAATCACAAAACTTTCACCAAATCTAGAACTAATATCCCCCCCCCCCCCCCCCAAAAGATCTTTTTTTTTTTCCACATGCAAAATTTTCTAATCTATTCCAACTCCAAAATCAACTCATGCAATAATCACGAAAAATGCAACAACCCCAAAATTATTCTCTTCATTTATAACAAATCCAAATTACAAACACTAATCATTTTTATTAAAAACATAAAACTTTATCGAAATTGTTAAAAAAACACAATCGAGCATTCTCGTAATTCAGACAGGAAACATAAACAACCTTAACAGACATAGCAAACATGGAATTTGACTATGCTTTTTTTTTTTTTTCTGAGCGTACCTTGCGTTTGATCTCCTGGATAGAAACTTTGGAATCTTCGATATCGGGCATGAACGAAGACGGGACCCGACCGGGATCCGCGAAGATGGCAAAGCTGTAATTAAACACACACATTACGGCAACACCGGTGAAAACGACAGCGTTCAAGATACCATGAGAGGTCATTAGACCGAACCAGCGGTCAATGAAAATAAAGACCGTACAAAAGTAAATAAAAGCGATGGCCGAAACGACAGCGGTTACAGGCAAGGAAAAGCTGAAGCCTCGCTTCATGGTTTAAGTGTTTACCAAAATGTCCGGACAAGTGGGTAGTCGCCGGCGTTAAAAACGTCGGCGTGTCCAGTGCTGCTGAATTTCTTGGTGGATCTTTCCTTTAGTTTTTCTTTTTCTTCATTGGTTTTGTTTCGGAGAAAAGTTGGAGCTTTAATTTGGTGGTTTGGTCACGGTTGGGAAAAAAACTGTTATATGTAGATGGTTCGGTGCCGTTGAAGTTTTTTCTCGTTTTACTCGAATGCCCCTTTATTTTTTTCTGCTTTTCAGATTGACCCTATTAAGAAAAGATGAGTGTTTGTTGGCTTGACTTGAATTTAATGGTTTGGACGAGTGGAGATTGATATGGATGAGATTAAAAATAGTGTTAAAAGTGAGATTATGGTAAAATTAAAATTAATAATAAGATATGTAACGATGATAATAAGATAAAATTTATACTACATTATAAAAAGCCCTTATAATGGCAGCAATGAACAGTAGCCCTGGAATCCCCAGTGGATCGGCTGAATTGCTAATTGAGACATTCTTCGTCCCATTTCTCAGTGGTTGCTATCATCTGGGAATGTGTTTGGTTGTAGGTGTGGTTCTGTGGATTTGGGAATGCTGAGTGGGTGAATACACATCAGTTTATTATTTTAAAATTTTCAAGCAGCAGATGGCTTCCTTTTTCATTCATTCATATTCATAGTTTATTTTGGAACGTCATTTTTGTTGAAGTCTTTAATATTTCCTTATGGAGGAGGTATCTTAAACATGGTTAACTGGTCATGAACGTTATTTCATCCAAAACAAGCTGATTTGGCTTGGATGAATTTGTCATCAGAAGACAAGAAATTGCTAATTCTCAACAGTAACCCATTTAAGATTCGTAGGAGATATTTCTCTTTTTGAGTTTGTGTTAATGTATGTCTATTTTTCCAATGTATATCCTTGGTTTAGCCTTGAATGCCAGCGGAAATGGCCACCATGACCATAATGTAACACGTAAATTGCATCTCTTTTCATTAGGCAACTTGAGCTATGCTGGTGCCAAATTTGGAAAAGATTTGAGAGTGGGATCTGGACAAATTTGGGAAAGATTTGTAGAAAATCGATCTATGTAGATTCTGCCACATATCAATATTTCGTACAGTAGTATATATCATGATAACCTATAGAAAAAGCCGCACCAGTTCTTTTTCTGGTGTTGGGTACACTGACGTTATCGTAAACCCAAAAACAGTCTTAAGCAAAGAGAGCCTAGCAGCCATACTTGTGGCATATAAGAATAGGAAATAAATTGAATAGAATGAAAACCGTCAAATTGAAAAGAGTGAAACGATCAGCATTTAGGAAGATCAGCAGGCGGAGGTAGTAGCTTCTGTTTGTGGCCTTTTCCATTGTTGACTACCCATGCCATCTTCAAGCCCCAGCTAGTGTGTACTTCCAGGTGGCAGTGCATAAACCAAACGCCTACTCATGCACCAATATGTAAAATTAATCAAAAGAATTAGAGAATTATAGTTGATAAGATTAATGATGAAAGCATGTTTATGTAAATCGATAACTCTTTGATTTGTCCAACTAAAATGATTTGCCAAGCTACTTGCCATCCGATTCTCTTCTGTAGTCTATATGCCTATCTGATAAGTAAATTATACAGAGTTAATAATGTAAATTATGTAACTCACCTGGGTTGTCTGCAAGGAACCGAATGGCGACCCACCCACCAGATGGTACACCCACTGTGTTCCTCTCCGCAGGGTCAACAAGATTGAATTTGGCAGGGTCCTTTTTGGGGTCAAAGTTGCCAATACCTTGACCCAGAACAAAAAAATTGAACCCATGAAGATGTAAAGGGTGGCTTTCTGCACCAAGGATGCTAGTATCCTGCATCACCAATTCGACGCTAGTGTTAAAAGGTAGCACCACCACCTTGGTGCCGCTGTCCAACATGATGTTTTTGGGTGGTGTGCCTGTGTAGTTAAACTTGAATGGTGGGTTGGTTGGGAAGTTGGTGGTGTAAACTCCCTTTGATTGGTTAAAGAAGTGAGCCTGGAGAAGAGCAATATTTGGTTGCACAAATGAGACATTGTTAACTGCGGCTGCTGGCCTAGTGTTTTTGGGACCTTGGCATGTTTGGTTTTGCGAGCACGGGAGTATCCCCAGCCCAACTGTGAAGAAGAAGCGTCTATCAAATTTTTTGGGGACTTTTGCAGGGAATTTAGCAGTGGCGAGGCTACGGATTTTCTTGCTGAATTTCATAGCAAAGGTGGAGTCATTAAACTGCGGAAGTTTTGCTTTTAGAAGCGACAGGTTCTTGTTATTAGAGTTTGAGGCAGAAGCAAATTTCTTATATTCTAGAATTCCTATTGTCGTGGTGTTGTCAAAAGAGGCAGGTCCAGTGGCATAAGGTCTGGCTGACATAGCAAACTTCGCGTTTGGGGTCTTCGATTGGGCCCTGAGAAGGACATTAGCGGTCTGCCCGGGAGTGATAAGTACAATATCTGTTTTGAAGGGTTTGACATAGACTGCATCGGCTTCTACAACAGTGAGGGTGTGGTTTGCAATTCTGAAAAAGAGCTCATCATTGAGTGCAGCGTTGATCAAACGGAGAAGATAGGTTTTACCCGGTTTCACCTTAAGCTTGAATGTTTCTGCATAAATTTAGTTTACTTGTTTTTAGTCTGTCCCAGAATCGGAACCTTTGCAGTGGAAATTGACAATGTTGGTTTCAGATATTGACAGTAAATATATGTAGTACCTTTTTCTGAGCAGTTGTAAGAGGGCCCTGGGAGACCATTAATGGTGAAGGCATCTGAGATATTTGGTGCCCCTCCAGTTGCCAGGGCCTGGTTGATAATTGTTTCTGTGTCAGCTTTCCACCACTCCCCTGCAATTTGAAGCAAAACTCAAAATTAATTTAAGATTATTCTTCTTTTAGTGCCTGATGTGATAGAATATAGATTATGTCGATTACCAAATATGATGGGAACTTCTTTGAAGGGCTGGGGAAATGGGTAAGGGGCATGTCGTTTGGGAAGGATGACAATTGGTCCATAAAGAGTAGCTCTTAGCCAAGAGATGTGAGCATGCCAAAATAAGGTCCCTCTTTGGCCAGTAATGGTGAAGTTATATACATATAATTGCCCTGTCTGAATTGGGCACTGTGTGATATAGGCAGGTCCATCAGCCCATCCACTCCTTAGCTGCCGGATTCCATGCCTAGTTTCCAAGTGAAAAGCCAGCATTGATATACTTATAAATAAAATCCTTACCATTAAAAAGAGAGAGAGAGAGAGTAGTAGGAAGTCAAATTTCATACCAGTGCAGAGTAACATTGTATTGTACATGGTTAACAACCTTGATCAGAAGGCGATCACCTTCCCTTGCTATTATCCGAGGCCCTGGGAACTGGCCATTGACTGTCACAATGCTCTTTGTTTGACACAACCTTGTCACATTTTGCATCTTAATCTGTAAAGGATTAACAAGAAAAAGTAAGAACAAAGGGATAGAAATGTTAGCCTAAGCTGTAGGCATACTTAGAAAGTGCACTACAAGAGCTTAGGAAACAGCCATGCGACGTGTTAATAGACTGTTAAGACTCTCAGTTCTAAGTGATTATGATTCAAATCCCGACAATTTCAGATTAAAAAAAAAATAGAAGAAGAAACAGGGATCTAAAATTTACATTAAACTTGTAGTGCCTGGTAATTCTTGCATACTTTGCAAGTGCCAAATCGGGTAACAACCAGACAGCACATAACGCTAGGAACAAAGACCTGAAAGCGGCTGATGATGTAAGAGGAACAGAAACCATTTCTCTTTTCTGTTTTCTTATAGTAATATTTTTGTGGTGATCCAGCAAAAATGAAAAGGATAGTCAAAGTGGGATCAAACTTATTTGGATGCAGAGAACAGGAACAAGTGAGGCATTTTATATAGGGGGAGAACGACTGACTAGTTTGGTAAAATTCGGATAATACTTGTTGCCCTTTAGACAAGTTGTATTTTCAACTGCAATTGGTTCGACAGGCTACTGGTAAATCCCTATAGAGTGATGTCCAAGCCAGCGAAGATTTTTCCTGATGGAAATCTAATTTTAACCCTAAATTCCTCATCTAAAAGTTGCCATAGTACCCAAATTAAAAAATTTTAAAGATGTCATAAGCTTAATGAACACATAAATAATGCTTTATATCACAGTCAGTCAAGAACTGGTATATTTGGTTCATTAGAAAAGTTAAAGCTCTTTCTCTCTTATGAAAATCTTTGAAAACCCACTACATGATTCTGAATTTCTAATTAATTAGGATTGAAAATGAACGGTTTCCTCCATATTTAATCCTTGGACAAGAGGAATTATTTGAGGATATAAATTTCATTGAGGCGGTGGGATAATCAATTAGTTCAAAAGAAAATTATATGAAGCAGATTAAGTTGAATGGTTTGATTAATCCATTTATTAGTAAAGGTGGGTTAATGTGGGCATGGTTGCTGGGTAGCCTTCATCCTACCGTTCATACTTGTCAATGAAGCCAAAAGAGAACGTCCTTAAACCATCTTGTTAGCTGTCGGTTGTTCCTACCCGCACATCCATCTCCAAGTTGCTTAACAGCTTCTGATGTTACCTTGCTGCAACATTTCTTACACTGACCCTTCTCTTAATAGATCTAAATCTAGCTCTTTCTTGTTGGGTTTTGCCTTCAATTACTATAACAGTTTAGATTTTAAAACTTTCAAAAGTAGGAACCTACCATAGATGAGAATATAAACATATTATCATTGAAAAATATGAAAGTAAGACGAGTTTTACTCAAGTTTTGTCCAAAATTCTAATCTTGTTTCCTACCAAAATTTTTGATAGGTACAAAAACACCAAAGCATGTAATAATGTTTAGGGAAAAAAAATTCTATAAAATTAAATAAAGTGTTGAAAATTATTGAAATTATTAATGGTTTAATCTCTTTATATTTCTTTTGGTCATTTGAAAATTACTTTTTTTTTTTTTAATAACTAACTTCCTGGATAATATCAAGGTTTCCTTGATGATACAGGCTGTTCATATTTATGGACCATTTATAAAGTTATATGATGGGCTGCTGGGGTGTTACTTGCCCAAGGCCCCAAGCTGCCAAGCATGAAGCATCCACAACACTCTAAAAGAAAGAAATGTTTTGCATACAGCATAACTTATATGAACCGTAGGGAAATTTGACTAAAGTAGTTAGATAGGGTCTTTAGATTTTACAGCAGAAATTAGGATTAAAATCACAGAACAGAGAAGGATGCGAAGGCATTCATTTGTCAATTTGATTCAGTTTGCCAAGGCCACTGCAACGAGCACATACGATTAGAGCTGGGTCCTTCCGTGCAGCATTGGGCATAATCCATGTCTATTGTTGTCACAGGTTATAAAGAGCAGTGGAACAAAAAATGATTCCTCAACTATTTTTGTGGCACATGGCAAGGAGATGTCTTACAATTTCTCAAAAAATGAGAAACTATGACCTTTAGAGAACAGCAGAAATTAACGTTGTTAGTCGTAGAAAATATTCCTCAATTACTAAAAGATTTAACCCAAATCTTAAAAAATGAGTTTTGTGAAAGTATAAAATCTCTGGATCCCACACAAGAAGCTCAATTTATTTTATCAAAACTAAAATTATGTGATATTAGGAATCTTAATGATTTCTCTAAAAAATATCTTTTTGAATATAAAAAATTGGATGAAAAACATTCAAAATTCTGGGTACAACAATATTTTCTCAAACTTCCCTTACCATGGGATGAATGATGTTCACAAAATTATCCTGTTTATTTAAAATTAAAACTCAAAACAGTTCATACTGCAAATCTCAGTATCGAACTCTATGATACTCTTAGATGTAGAATACATTATGTTCAAACTTAGATCACAGAATACTACTTCAAGCAAAAAGCTACCAAGCAGGTAAAATCCAAACTCTAGTATAAACAATGTACAAAGATTTTGGAAAGTGAATTTGAATTTGGCTGCACTAAATAGTTTTTTTCAAAGAATAATCGTTTTAAGAAAAAACGAAAATATCTTTGAAAAAAGTGAAAACCCACTACAGCTTTTAAGCCTAAAAAAGGTAAATTTGTTGTTAAAAAGAAGAAAAATCTTCTAAATAAAATTGTAAATATCTTCTTTGTAATCAAAAAGGTCACTATACAAACAGTTGCCCTAACAAAAGGAAAAGTGCCAAGAAAATGATCACAAAACTTGATGAAAATTTTCTTCAAATTTTTTTTACTGATGAATTATCCGACAAAAAAATTTATTATAAAGTTTTTTCTGAAACTGATTATAGTTCTTTTGACGATGGATCTGATTTTATTTTCATGCTAAATATTGAAGTTAACTAAGACAATGTTTCGGTTGCTTCTTCTACAGGTATAACAACTACTGAAAGAGAAGGTATGGTTAAACTAAAAAATATTATGAGAAAAAACTCATTCTATTTTTGAAGAAAAAATCAAAGAATTACAACTCATCAAACCAGATGAGATTTACAAAACAAGTTGGTTTAAAAAATTTCAACCTTGGTATCAGCATCATATAAAAAAAACTATCTGGTGATACTGTTGCCAACGATTCTAAACAAGGATTGGTCGAAATTCTTTTTTTTGTTAAAAAAAAAAACCATTTTCTTTCCAAATATCCCAAGGTCAAATGCATCCATATAGGTATGATTTTGATCACCATTAAAACATTATTTTTATCTACAAAAAATATTTCAATAATAACTGTTTTAATGGATAATCGTTTTCAAAATCCTGTATCTTCTTCTTAAGCTCTTTGTTTCAAAGTTCATACGTGTATATCTGAGTTGTTTGTTGGCGTTTGTGGCCTGAGTTACCTTGTTTGCTAGCGTTTTTAGAACAGCACACCGATTTTAAGCACCAAAAACATGAAAACTTATGAATAAAATACTTGTATTTGTAAATATAAGTCTTATAATCACGATTTTCATATAGATCTTAAGTATGAATCTAGTAATATTAGCATAAGTAGAACTGTAAATGGTTTAATAGATTTAACTTATTCTTTCTTTCATAAATTTTTTTATAAAAATGGATACTATAAAAGATAAAGTAGATATGCTTGTAAAAAAGATGAACCAAAGACATGTTCTTCCAGACATATCTACAGACTTTGGATCTCTTTATTACGGTAATATTATGATGAACGATGAAAAACCTTCATCTTCCTTAACAAAAGAGAAACAAGAAAAACTTGATTTCGACTCTTATAAATATATTATTGATAATTTTAAATACAAAATGAAAAAAATGGAAGATCTGCAACAACATATTGATTATCTTCAAGCTATAGAGACCCTTTATGAAGAACATAAAAGAATCTTTATTAAGTATAATTATCATTATATGCTTAACTATGACACAACCAGTGTTAGAAATGAAGAAGAAAATAATGATTTAGTAGCTGATAATTTTAAAATTTTTGCTACTAACCCAGTAGTCAAGGATGAACCAATTTCATCAGATGAAACCATATCAGATGACACTGATAGTTCTAAAGATCAACTAGATCCAAAACCAAATCAAATTCCTATCCCTAAACTAGAAGAGCGTGGGAAGAAAAAAGCATCTGCAATATCTAATCCAGATATTGATGATGCTTTAAGATTTCCAAATTTGCTAGATCCAAATATTATGGATCAATATTTTTCTCATCTGAAAAAAAAATATTTTCACCTAAACAAGGATAAGATAAAATAAACATCTAAATCTCGTCAAACAAGTCAGGTTAAGATCGAAACCTTTATCATCGATTCGTTAAACAAACGAACAGTTTCACAAGGTGGTACTTATTTGAATTTAACCAAAGTCCCTTTCAAAGACTATGAAAAATCCATAGACGATTGGACACAATCCATGTCAATTGTTGTCACAGGTTACAAAGAGTAGTGGAACAAAGAACGATTCTTCAACTATTTTTGTGGCACATGGCAAGGAGATGTCTTACAATTTCTCAAAAAATGAGAAACTACGACCCTCGAAGAACAGCAAAAATCAACGTTATTAGCCGCAGAAAATATTCCTCAATTACTAAAAGATTTAACCCAAATCTTAAAAAATGAGTTTTGTGAAAGTACGAAATTTTTGGATCCCACACAAGAAGCTCAATTTATTTTATCAAAACTAAAATTATGTGATATTAGGAATCTTAATGATTTCTCTAAAAAATATCTTTTTGAATATAAAAAATTGGATGAAAAACATTCAAAATTTTGGTCACAACAATATTTTCTCAAACTTTCCTCACCATGGGATGAATTATGTTCACAAAATTATCCTGTTTATTTAGAATTAAAACTCAAAATAGTTCATACTGCAAATCTCAGTATCGATCTCTATGATATCTTAGATGTAGAATACACTATGTTCAGACTCAGATCACAGAATACTACCTCAAGCAAAAAGCTACCAAGCAGGTAAAATCTAAACTCTCGTATAAACAATGTACAAAGATTTTGGAAAATGAATTTAAATTTGGCTGCAATAAACAATCTTTTTCAAAGAAAAATCGTTTTAAGAAAAAACGAAAATATCTTTGAAAAAAATGAAAACCCACTACAGCTTTCAAGCCTAAAAAAGGTAAATTTATTGTTAAAAAAAAATCTTCTAAACAAAATTGTAAATATTTTTTTTGTGATCAAGAAGGTTACTAAGCAAATAGTTACCCTAAAAAAGGGAAAAATGCCAAAAAATGATCAAAAAACTTGATGAAAATTTTCTTCAAATTTTTTTTACTGATGAATTATCCAATGAAGAAATTTATTATAAAGTTTTTTCTGAAACTGATTATAATTTTTCTGACGATGAATCTGATTTTATTTTCATGCTGAATACTGAATCTAACCAAGATAATGTTTCAGTTACTTCTTCTATAAGTACAACAACTACTGAATGAGAAAGTATGGTTAAACTAAAAAATATTATGAGAAAAACCCATTCTATTTCTGAAGAAAAAATCAAAGAATTACAACTCATTAAACTAGATGAGATTTACAAAACAAGTTGGTTTAAAAAATTTCAATCTTGGTATAAGCGCCATATAAAAAAACTATTTGGTGATACTGTTGCCAATGATTCTAAATAAGGATCAGTCAAAATTCTTTTTTTTACTAAAAAGAAAATAAACCATTTTCTTTCAAATATCCCAAAGTCAAATACATCCATATAGGTATGATTTTGATCACCATTAAACCACTATTTTTATCTACAAAAGATATTTCAATAATAGTTGTTTTAATGGATAACCGTTTTTAAAATCTTATTAATGCTGTAATTGGTGGAATCCAATCCAATTTAGTAGCAGGAGTAGTTTTATTTAAAGTTAAACCAAACTATTTTATTTTTATTTTTTATGAAAACATTGAAAAATGTTTATGTCTTCGTGTCAAAATAACCAATTCTGACTTTGAATCCAATTCGCATGACCTTTCAATCAACTGATCAGCAGTTTATGAATTTACTAATACCACAAATAGTTCTATCAAACTGATAAATTTTAATATAATCGAAATTTCTGAACCAAATAGTTTTTATTCTGAAATCAAACCAAAATTGATCAAAATCGAAGATTTATCTATCCCAAAATGATGGTGTCTTGAAGATATCTCAAATACTTTTGAAAAATAGAAAGTATCAAGTTTAAAAATTTTCTCATCAGAAAAAAATCTTTACTTCAAAAATTCACATACATCAACCAGTTTTAATCTGAACCTGATTTTACCCCTTACTAATACTTTTGATCATCAACAAGATAATGATATAGAGAGTATAACTAGTAATCAATCTTTTTGTACTCCTTATCAAAGTTCTTTTTCAAGATTTCAAGGTACAAACAATACAAAAACCCTACGACGAGCAAATATCATACGTCATACAGATAATACAAGTAAAATTCTAATATTTACAGGAGATAATCCATCTCAGCAAGGTACAAGTGATAACCAATCTTTTTATCATTTTGTTAATATTGTGTTAAACTCACACACCTCTTCTTCTAGAAACATTAGAAATAAAGAAATCAAAATGTTTCATTTTATAAATAATTTTCGCATAACTGCACCTGAAACAATTTTATTCATAAAAAAGGTTTGATATTATACTTATATACAAGGTTATTTTTATTTTCAAAACTATAAACCATATAGTTTAGATATTTTGATTGACATAGAAGCAACAATCTCTAGCTGTCAACCTAATACTTTGCCTTCAACCCTATGGCAAAACATGAAGCATCTGATTATAATAGTAGGTATTGATAGTAAGGAAACCATTGTTAGCCTAAAAGCTAAAAATGTCCATGTTTCCTTAAATGATTTTAAGTTTATAATTCCTAAAATATTATATTTTCCTAACATGCATGGAGACATCTTACTAGGAAATAATTTTATTCATAAATATTGACCATTTTTCTGTCTTACTAGATCATCTTACTTTTACTATTGATAAAAAATCAATAGATATTCCTTTATTATCCAAGCATAAACATGTTCGTGATAATGATTTTCATCCAAAAATAATTTATATATCTGAAATTAAAGCTATAAATGAAAAATATTGGCTTTATAAGATTTTGTAGGAAAACTTCAATGAACCACCGTTGAAGCTATGGAAGCGAAATCCAAAATATTATGAACTTACTCTTCATGATCCAAAAAAAATTATCAGAGTAAAACTCATGATCTATACTAAACATGATATAGATGAATTTGAAATTCAAAATTTATAATTGCTCGACAAAAATCTGATAGAACCAACTACTAGTCTGCACTCCAATCTAGCATTTTTGGTAAAAAATCATTTTGAAATTAAACAAGATAAACTCCAAATGATTATCAATTATAAAAAATTAAATCCAAATCTTATTTTTGATGGTTATTTTATTTTTCGAAAAGATATTTTGATAAATTTGTCTAAAAATGCTAAATACTTTTTTTAAATTTGATTGTAAATTTGATTTTTGATAAATCATATTTACAAATTTATCTAAATTTTTAACTACTTTTAATGCACCAACATATCACTATCACTGAACAGATATCCGCTTCATATTGACGAACAAAGCCCGGACCATCACATTTAGGACAGCCGAGATAAAGCAAAACATAAACATGGAATGCCATACAAAATATTAAAATAAATTTTAAACAGAGAAAAAGGATAATTACGACAGGTCGTTGCAGAACAAAATGATTGGAAAAGCGTTCCAACCAGAGCAACAGTGGCCACACCGGCACTTAGTTAGGTTGTACGATCAGCTGATACATCTGCAACTGCTGCAACTACTGTCTGAGATCTCTTTCGGTTCTTCTGTTTCATGGTCCTGGACAAAACTGTTGACCTTAAAGGTGATTTCTTTCGGCCGAAATAACGACAGTTCAGGATATCTGCTCAGTGCTCCCACTTGTCCCCTTACTTTTAACATGATGCAATAGCAATTGAATCTGTTAGCAATGGCATCGGTTACATCATTGCTGACTTTGTAACAAGTCTGCAACAGTTAAGAATGTCAGGTAGCCATTCTCTCTCTTCCCTTTGTGCTGTGGCACTTCTAAAAAATCTCCTTATTCACTTGAAGAAAAAAAAAAGGAAAAAGAAAAACCCTCCTTATTTCTTCAATGGTTATTAGACGTGACACATAGCAGGCTCTGTGCCAGGGTTGTCTCTAGCATGTGTCAACGGATTAGATTGCTACTAGTGGATAAGGCCACGTTAGAATCTCAAATTTCTTGTAGTTTCCTGGGTCGGGATGGTCACTACCAAAGATCTATCATAAGTGATGTCCAATTTTGCCCCCTTCCTGCAAGGCAACAAATCCTGAAAACAGAATGAAGCAGTTATTTTGCGGCCCAACAAGCTCTCGCAATCAAGCATGTTACTACCACTTGGTATTTTCCTGTGAGAAGAAAATGGGGAAGGCTGTACGAACCCTTGAAATGACCCTTGAAATGATTTCCTTCCCAGTACTACTTTTTCAATGGGGTTCCATTGATTGGTGATCCTGGTTCACCATCCAAGAGAGAAGGTAACTTGTGAAAATGAGTGTGTATACATATCCAAATTACTTAATGTTAGCTGAAGAGCAAATTTTATAATGTATCTAGTTCCTTCAAAGTTACAAGTGCATTACTGGGGGGCTCCTGCAGATCATTTAAATTCATGTACAGCAACAAAAACAGAGGAATGGAGTTGCGACGATGAAGTTAAGATGCTTCAACTTGGATGCCCAGATACTTGATCATATGCAGATAGGAAAATTGACCTTCTTAATATATCTAACATCTCAGCAATGAATAATCCCAAATTGGCACTTCAATCACAAAAGCCTCTAAATAACCTTCTATAATTCCTGCAGAGACTCAGCAGATGCTAACTTCCAGCTAACAACATCCACCCACAGAAATCCAAACAATTCAAAAGGTGGAATTGACCTTCACATCACAGGCCACATTTCCATATCAAACCTTGCTAACAATTATCACTGCAATATACCTAGTGTAATCGACACCAACTATATTAGCATGTGATTCTGTACATCATTTAACATAAAGTCGCTAACAAGTTGAAATGGATTAGATTCTGAGTATGGGTTATGCTGTCAAATATTTCAACCTAACATGAACAAATTAAGTAATCAACGTCATTTCACCACATGTATGATGTTCAAGAAAGTGTTCACAACAATGACCCTAAATGATGCCCAAACCACAAGTTACAATGAAGAACTGTTCATTAAAAGGATTCTTTATATAGATATTAGATGGTTAAACCATCAATCAGATTTCATAAATTTTACACCAGAATTTTTCTAGACAGAAGAACCCAGTCCATGAACAAAAGAGAGAGAAAGAGCAGCGTGACAATAAATAAAGGTAATCATCAAGCATTTTAACTGGCGTTCTTATTCAAGAATACTACCAAAAATCAAAGAAAAACATTGTACTCATAACATGCAAAACATATAAAAGGAATGGAGATGCAAATGATACATTAACATTGGAACAACTGTAACTGAAAGGTACTGGAAATGCAATCGTAAAGTATAAATGCTCCAAAAAACGTTCTACCATGTTCTATTTTGAATTTAGTATTTCTTCTTTCTAAAATTATGTAAAATGCTGAAGTTATTGATTGAAGCTTTTGATTGCCTTCCTCCAAGATAACCTCAGTAAGACAAAAAATCATGCATCATACAATTACTGATTTTCACCCTTTCAAACTCTCACATCCACTGAAGAAGTCAATGTCTGATTGAAAGAAGAAAAAATCTAACACAAACAAGAACACACTCTTATAGGGGAAAAAGAAATGATACTATCAGAAGCAACCCTATCCATCCAAAAATTTAAAAACTACTAAGGCAGAGTGTTGGTCAAGAAAAACAAGCAAAGTAGACCAGTTGTTGCAGGTAGATTGGATTCCAGTCAAGTAAAACTAAAAGAAACAACATGACCAACACAATAATTTGAATTAAAAACTGAAAATAAACAACAAAATTCCTGATAACAAATTACAAGTAAGAAAGAAGCAAGAGAATAAATTATCCAGACAACTTACAAATTGAACAATTTTAAGCCTAACATCAATTTAAATGGGGGGATTAGTACCTCAGTAAACAACCACTAAATGATCATAATAGCACAAAATTTTCTTCTTGTGCATCATTGGAGCACACACCAACTCACCAAAGACTCTTTCTCTTTTGACAGAAACTAAACTCGAGTAATTCTTCATTCTTTACCAAAAGTGTAGTTATTTACATTAAATTAAAATCATACAATCTACAAACATTCCCTTAGTATCAGATAAAAAGAAAAAAGGTTAACCTGAAAATGATCAAAGAATACATTCCACCATCATTCAATCCTCGAAATGCCATTCGCTATCCATTCTAGATGACCTCCCAAACATTGAACTTGATCTACTTCTCCTCGTAAACCCAGAATCTGAACCTGAACGAGATGAAGAGCTCCTAAACCTCCCAAAAAAAGAAACAAAACTCCGAAAAACCCGCCCTAATCCTCTACTCTCTTGTGACCTTCTCCCACTAGGCGCCCATGAAATCCTTCTAGGAGCACCCGTATTATTAAAACCACCATCCATTTCAGTAAACACAACCGGAAACTCTCTCTCCGCTGCTCTCCTCCCTCCAGTAAACCTGCCAACCGCAAACCCACCTCCCGGTAACCGCCATATCGTTAATCCCACAGCTTCTCCAACTGCCTCGTTTTCACCTATATTATTTCTGTTATTTTCCGTTGGCAACTCGTGGCGGCAAACTGGACAAGAGTTTCGAATCGAAAGCCACGGTAAAATACAATCCGAATGGTAAATATGCTTACAAGGCATTTCCCGAGCTTCGGAATCGAGCTCGAACAGTTCTTTACAAACTGCACAGTGAGATTCCGTGCTAACGTGGTTCCCAACGATCTTAATCACCGGCAATGATTCAATCGCCGCTTTCGAAGCGGGCGGTTGCTCGAAACGGCCAACTCCGTTTACATCTAATTGAGATAACTGATCAACAAGCCGATCAAAGCCCGAACCCATTAAAAACTCCGACATGCTAGCAGGTAAGGGGCGAAGACCCGACCCGGACCCATCATCGTAATAAAGCTCAAAATTGGTGTTTCCTCTTTCAGGAACTAAGCCGTCGGTTTCGGAGCTGGGTCCACGGAGGACAACGACGGGATTGAAAGGGGACCTTTCGCCAGCGTTTCTTCGAGCTCGGCGGAAACGAGGAGTGGCGGTGGGGCTGGGGCTGAGCGCTGGGCTGGGTGTGTCGGAGTACATGGCAGCTGCAGGGAAACGGTGGTAGATGGGAGACCGAGAGGGCGTTTCGATTTCTTCGATGAATCCGCCGCCGCAATCGGGGCAGTGGATCGAATCTTGGGGAGATCGGACCCGGATCAGGATGAACCGGTTGCAGCTGTAGCACCAATAGGGTGATCTAGTCGATTCCATAAAAAAGAAACACTAAAATATTTGAAGAAATGGAAATTTGAGAAATCGGAGAAAATTAAAAACCCTAGAACTTCAGAGAGAGAGAGAGAGCATAAAAGGTGAAAAAAATAGGAGCCGTGGAAGACTAAACGGTGTATAATCGCGTGGTGTGTAATTAAGCGTGGGTTATATGCTTTTAATTACTTTTAAGATGGTTTAATTAACGGAATTTAGTTGCTTAATGGGTTGTCCTGTTAACGACGTTAGTGGGAATTAAACGGAGAAGGAGTTGGAGTTTATATGGCCCAATCATTTGAACCAGACACTGGATTGGATTCCAAGAGACTTGTAGCCCAAGTCATTAGCAATTGTCCATGTTTCTATTCAGTAATCAACTAAGAGTTTTAAACCCAAGCCACCATAATCTATTTGGACCGATGGTCGATCCAATCCAAATACAAGGCTCAGGTCATAAAGGTCAATTCAGTCCACAAATCTGATCTCGGTGGTAGGCGGTAGCCCTTTCGGCCACCTTCTAAAGAATTATCGCTCTAAAAGGAAAAATCTGGAATCCTCTGGATTTCTCCCTAAATCCTCTATAAAAGGAAACTTCCAACTGTTAATCGTCTCTTACTTTTGAATTCATCTGCAAGAAAAACGAAGACAGTGATTTACTTAGCATAATATAATATGGCTAAAGACGGACCCAACTGGGATGGATTGCTGAAATGGAGCATTGCTCACTCTGATGGAACTCGACCCACCCGTAATTTAAGGTAACCCCATCTTTTTTTTTTCGATGGCATATTTTTGCCTATGTTTGATTGATTATTTAGTGGGTAATTTTTTATTTTTTTTTTGGTATAGTGAGGAGGATAGAAGATGGTTTATGGAAGCGATGCAATCGCAAAGCATTGATGTGACTCAGCGAATGAAAGAGATAACTATGGTTATGCAAACTCCAGAGCAAGTCTTGGAAGCTCAGGGAGTTACTGCTGCTGATATTGAAGGTACTACTACTGCAAAAACCCAGCAGTTGTTCTCAAGGGTTTTTTTTTTAATTCTGGGTTTTTAGTGTAGCTTTGTTTGACATACGTATTTGATGGTGGCAGATATGTTGGATGAGTTACAAGAGCATGTTGAGTCTATTGACATGGCCAATGGTAACTTTTATCTTTTTACACTTTTGAGATTATTGCCGGGTTGTTCTTTCCTAAGTGTTTTCTTTTAATGGAATGCTTAATTTGATTGATTATTAATAATTGTCCTGTTAGCTATAGTGTTTGGCTGCTTAGAATTTTAATATTGTATGCAAAGGGAATCTTTTTGTGTTTTATGTGATAAATGATTCTATAGGATGCTACCAATGATGGGATTGGTATTTTTCAATTTCATAAACTGTTGCATCATATACCTTTTCTTTCTCTGTTCCTGGTAGCACTCTTGCAAGAATAAGATTTATTTATGAAATCGAAATGGCTAAGTGAAAAATGTTTCCCCTTTATTAAGCCTTCCATGCTTTTCAATTGATCTCTAGCCTGTTTGTTTATTTCCTCTTTCAAAATTATGCGGTCTATGCATTTGTGGCAGATCTACACTCGATTGGTGGTTTGGTCCCTCTCCTTGGTTATCTGAAGAATTCACATGCCAACATTCGAGCAAAAGCTGCAGAAGTTGTATCCACTGTTGTACAGAATAATCCTCGGAGTCAACAGTTGGTTATGGAAGCAAATGGCTTAGAGCCTCTCCTTTGTAATTTTTCCTCTGACCCTGATGTAACTGTTCGAACCAAAGCACTTGGTGCAATATCTTGTGAGTACAATTATTGTTTTGTAGCATACATCTTATTGTTATTAACACCAATAAATTCGGTTGAACATGCTCCTACAGAATCTTGAAAGTTTTTTGACATGACATCTTTTTTTTCAATTGCTTTCAGCTTTGATCCGCCACAACAAACCTGGTATTGCAGCATTTCGACTTGCAAACGGTTATGCAGCCCTGAGAGATGCTTTGGGAACTGAGAGTGTAAGATTTCAAAGGTAATCTTAGGATCATTCTTTGCGGTCCAAGTATGAATTATCTTTTTGTTGGTAATAGGTTTTAGGGTTTCATTTTAGATGTTTTTCATGTAAAAATATGTGGAATTTAGATTATCAAACAGTTTCCTAGTTCAATGTTAACGAGTGCATTGTTTTTCTGGTTAGATTCCTTTTGGTTTTCTCATTTAATTGCCTTTTACTTCCAGGAAAGCATTAAACTTGATTCAGTACCTGCTGCATGAAAATAGTTCAGACTGCTATGTTGTAAGCGAGCTGGGTTTTCCCCGCATAATGTTGCATCTTGCCTCTAGCGAGGATGCAGAAGTAAGAGAAGCTGCTCTCCATGGCCTTCTTGAGCTTGCTCGGGACAAGATAGGTGGAAACAATTGTGCATTAGGGGAAGATGAGAAATTGAAGCAACTTCTTGAAGAGCGAATTCAATGTATCAGTATGATGTCTCCTGAAGATCTTGGGGCAGCTAGGGAGGAGAGGCAGCTTGTGGACTCCCTTTGGAATACATGCTATAAGGAACCGTCTTCTCTCCGAGAGAAGGGACTTCTAGCTCTTCCTGGCGAAGATGCACCTCCACCTGATGTTGCTAGCAAGCATTTTGAACCTCCTCTCAGAGGTTGGGCTGCAAATCGAACTGGAGATTCAAAGGCCAGTACAAAAAAGCAAGAGACTCCTCTTTTGTTGGGTCCAAGCCCTCCAAATGATGGTGCTGGTATTCAAGGGACTAGTAATCATGAAGCATAGTTGTTTTGTGGCTAACGAAATTAGCACTAGAATTTGTTTGTTTTCCTATCTCGATTTGTACTCTCTCTTTTTTTTTTTTTTTTTTATCACAAAACTTGAATTTAATATATGATTGCCTCTGGGTGTGTATCTTCTCCACCAGCATCTTGGAAAAATTACATGCTTTTTCTGCAACCCTAAACATTGGCACTAAGTAAGAGAAGTTGCTAGAGAGAGCTATGAGACTCGCATCACGTTTGCATTGCAAGTTGTTCATCGGCCACGTTTCAACTTTCAACTCAATTGATCAATGATCATGAGGCCGCAACTGCATAGCCAACTAGCTAAAGCAGGTGACTGATTTTTCCTTTTTTAACTCGGCAAAAACATCTGCCAGGTCTACTGAAAAATTAGCATACCCTTCTCCCATCCAACCTTGCTTACTTTATTTTACATTTTCTCTTCGGAAGCAATTTTCAGCGGGTTCCATCTGGAAGGCTGCATCTCCCAACAACTGTGCGCAACACAAGATCGCCATGTGCTGGGGATTTGTACTCAAGAGCCAAGCCCGCGGGAACTTCCCTTTTCCTACCTTGTGGTGGAAATGCCTAACCAACTAACAATCAAGGCCAAGCCTCGTACCATTCAAGATGCCTCATAGAAATTATTTGATTATATAAGCTACGGTTTTGATAATAAAATCAGATGGGATTAACTTGGTTTGATTATACACTCTAACCATTAGCAACTTTCAAGCAACAATCAACATAAAGCATCATTTCGATACAAGTCAATGAACATCTCATATGTAGTGGCCAGGACATTACATTCAGCCCAAAAGATTTTGAAAAAGATCACTTCCTTGTATTCCAAGTGATCATTGCATTTAAGTCTCTCCTGTTGCAACATGGTAAACTGGCAAATCAAAATGTAAATCACGAATTTCGCATCTATCTGAGAAGACATTTTACGCTGTTATATCATTATGTATATATATAATTTATATATATATATATAAAATGATAATATATTGATTCACAGCCTACATTTTTATTTACTGCAATCATATGATGAAAACTGTTCATCGTCTTCCTATTGGTGTTTCGCTCAACTTGAAAGGATAGTTCATTGAAATTTTGTAACAATTTTACATCAAAAGGGAAGAAGGAGAGAGTTGAACATAATGATTACAAGGCAAATTGATATCGTATAATCTAGTTAATTGAATATTCTGGTCTTCAACGAAAAGAGATAAGCATTTGCCATAGTTACAGGTTTGCCTTATTAGTTGGAGAATGAGAAAAGAGTTAAATAGTAGTTAATTAACAAAAATATAGAACACCAAGAAGAAATACAGATACCTGCTATTAGGATCGTAATAGAAGCCATTGATAGAACCATCGCTACAAGAGAAGCAAACATAGTAAAACCCAGCTATGGTTAGACCACAGTCTGTTCCAACATTTACAAAGTATTGCTCTTTCCATCTCTGAACCAGAAAAATAAAAGAAACAGAAAGTTTCTACTTATCAGTCAACATTTAAGGAATTCTGAGAAATTAATGAAAATAAATGAGATCAAATTACCATAAATATGTATGGATAATTACTCAGGTCCAAAGATTTCCCACCATCATTCTCTACTTGACTCTGAAAAGAAAAGGGCTAGCTAAGTGAGCACAGTTCTGCATACAGGGTACAAGTTCTAAATCCTCACCAGGAGTGGAGTAAATGATGGAAACTTTGTCCAATGCCTTTTATCATCCTCTGGCCTGTTAAAAGATTTATAAACTTGTTAAAGGGGGGAAATAAATTATGCCAACTGTTCCCAATATCCATGGAAAGGATTGCTTGTAGGCAATTTTATGCAAAGAAGCTCCATTGTCAAAACAAAAAAGAAAAAAAAGAGAAAGAAAGAAAAACATACGACGCTTCCCACTTGCCAGTGTAGAAAGTATAATTCTTTGTATCAACAATCTCCCCTTCCCAAAAGGTTACAACCTGAGAAACATCAAAAAGTAAAACAAAAATGCTACAAGAGGTAAGATCAAAATTTCTGCAGTTTGAATAGATTTCCCATTTTTGGCTGGAGTCAACAAGGACGCATTTAGGAAACAATTGCAGAAGTGATAACAACCGCTTACAATCTGAAAAGAAAAATGCATAATATCTCTTTATTATCACATGCCATATCTTGTAGGCTTTATATAAAAGTAAAACCATATGCATTAGTGTCCCTTGTGTATATCATAACAATAAGTGATAATACAGATAAAGTTTTGGCAGGAAAAGTCCATGGAGAATGAGAAATGAATATGGACGAAGGAATGTATCATCATCTAGAGTAGATGACAATGCCCATGTAAAAGTTATAACTTTAAGCTTTTTAAAATTAAACATTGTAGAGATTCATCAAACATTGCAAAATTAAACAACCATTACATTATGAAACTTAAGAGGATGCGTCCAAGACAAACATTTCAAAACCTATCCAGATGGTTAAAGCATTCCACTTACTGGTGTATCGGCCATAGGAACATTTAGAGCTTCCATAGTTCCGCAAAGATACCCATGTTCCAGATCACATCCTTGTATTCGGACATTAACTCTCCAAGCTTCCTCCTTTTGTAAACTCGAAACATTTTGAGTACCAGAAAATGCCTGCAAATCAAACTATGATATACCCAAGCAATAAAACATAGTAGCATATAGCAAGTTTCATTCATAGTTGGCAACAATACTCTCCATTCAACTACCCCAAACCAACTAAATATTAAAATTTAAAACAACAAAAACAATACAAAAATAAATCAAACACCTATAACACAATGCAGTGTAAATTAATTCATAAGGGTATTAAAGAATGCAATTAAAATTGCAAAATCCAAATAAATCTATTACTAAAGTTAAAAGAAAGGGGAAATTTTTCATTAACCTGTCCAACACTCAAAAGTGTATAAGCTGGGGATGAAGTATGTCCAGAATTTGTACCTTCATAGTTAAACAAAAATATCAAAAATAAAAGAAAAAAAAAACAGAAACTTTATCAACCCAAATCAGATTAAATTATAAAAAATTAAAAAAAAATCAGCCATTACCAAAACCCTAATGCAATTGAATGGAAAAAAAGGAAAACGAAAAGAAGTAATTTTTTAAAAAGCGGAAAAAAACCTGAAACTTGAGAAGGTGCAGAGCTCTCCGCGACTCTCACTGGCATTGTTTTCGATTTTTGTTGATTTATTAATATTCCCAAATGAAATCGATCATCAGCTTGAAACTTGGAAGTTTATAAAAGATCCGGGTAGAAAATTAAAATAATAATAATAAGTTTATCCGGTTATCTTTCGATTCGATGCAACCCGACCCGACATAGAAAATTAAAATTAAAATATAAGGAAACCCGGTTATCTTATGGGGTTTTTTTGGGCTAAAATTGGATGGGTTTATAAATTATACATAGGGCTGGCAGCGCAAAAGCCTAATAAAGAATAATGGGCTGAAGTGAATCTCAATTCAAATACATTATTCAATTTTAGATTTCCCAACTACCTAAACAAAAATATGCAATTCCGATACATGTTTTCTTTTGCTTACAATTTAATAAAAATTACCAAAATTTTGTAAAATATTATCAAACTTCTAATAAAAGTTACGTTAATACCTTAAAGATTATCAAAACAAATGTTATCAGATTTAAAATTTTATCAAAATTATACCAAAGGTTGACGAATGAAACTTGATCAAAAGTATATTTAAAATTATTAAATTATATAAAAATATGTGAAAATCAAAATCATGTCACAAATTACCAAAATTATATCATATGTTATTAAC